CTCAAACCCATTTACTCGCAGACACATACACATATATTTCAGGTGAATATTTCAGAAGAGCAAGGACCTCTCTGCCCTCTGAACTCGGGTGCCCGACATCTCAAAGCTGCTTGGTAGCCACACCCATTTGCATGGGTGTGGCTACCAAGCTCTGACACAAATGCAAGAGATGTGAGCTGCGAGAGCTGTTTGAGGACATAAAATGGGATGACATTTTTCTTTCTCCATCTTTTCTACTTGTATAATATGCGGAATATGTGGAAAATGGCTTCTTCATTTAAATATTGGAATTATTTGCATACATACATGGCCTTCCAAGTCACAGTGTTGAGTCTCTATTCCAGTTTTTACTGTCTCAATTCTGTCTCAATGGATTATTCAAAGGATCAAGCAGTCAGGAGAGGATTTCAAGAGTTAAGCACATGGATAATTATTCTCTTTCTCCTTAAATAGCGCCGAAGAAAGCCCACTCCTTTAGTGCCGGTTAATGTAGTAACTCTACTTCAGACACACTGTTTAACACCAACAATTACACATGACAGAAATCTCAAACAGCTTTAAGATTGACAGATTTTCTGAGCAAGATTCAGAGAAATCACAAGAGCCCAAAGACACAGAATCTCTGGAGCCCTGGCACTGGTTTCTGTCCCCCATCCACAGGTGGGGAACGCAGTTTGAGCTGAGATCCGGACATTGTTGTGTGGTTGTGTGTGTGTACATACATGTGCGTGCGACCATCTGATATTATCTCACACCTCAGCATGCACTTGGCTTGACCTGAACGCTGGCAGAGGACAGGCATTTCAAAAATATGCTTATTCTCTCCCCCACAGTCCCTCACTTCCTCCCCCTCCCTTTTACTGTCACCCTTGCTCACATGCGCTCGCACAAACAAACACAATCAAAAAGGGGCAGCAGCGCATAGCTGACATATCCTGAGGCACCTTTTTACGCCTTTGACCCCCCACACAAACCTCCCACATGCAGATAACCAGCTAAAGTACACAGTTGACCTCTGGCATGGCTCAATTCTCTCCTTACTTGGGCTAAATCAATAGAGACAATTAGTTATTTCTAAAGCAACATTGGTAAAATTCCCTTTAGACCACATTTAAATGCCCAAACTGGAAAAACAAAAGCAACAAAATAAAGAAAAAATACATCTATAAGTATTTAGGTCACATTACAATCACTCCATTCAGCCTTAATGTGCATTATCTTATGTCATCTCATATAACCAAATCAATCCCTTTAAACAGTTAATGAGATTGTGAGAAGACATAAACCTGTAAACTGTAAGCCGTTTTGGCAATGCCAAGCTTCTACTGCAACAAAGGTGAGAGGATACCAAGTCTTACCAGCTGATAGTAATCATCTAATCTGGTTACCATTACCTCTGACTGGCCTGTACGTTGTAACAATAAATACAAATTCAGACAAATTCAGATGACTGCACCCAGTTTTAAACCTGTTCCTCTTATCACTGATAATCTGCTCTGCTATTAATTGCATTATTCACAATAACGGTCCACTGGCGCTATCATTGCCCCTGTGCGGAAATTGAGCACTTCGAGCCCTGCAATTAAAAAGGAATCAGAGCACTTACCACTTACAGCAAGGAGCGGCGAAGGCAAGGTGTGGGGGGTCGGAAGTTGTCAAATAATTGCTTGCTTCTGTCGTATCTGTAAGAATGTCATCGTTTGGGTTTTATTTTTGCTGTGCTGGTGTGCGGACGGTGGTTTGCTGGACGGTTTCTCTGCTCGGCGCGGCTGGTCACACTGTATCCGAGGCGCGGTGAGAGACGCGCTGTGGAGAGGAGAGGGAAGGAGGAGGGAGGGGAGGGGAGGAGGGAGGAGGGAGGAGGAGGAGGAGGAGGGGGGGGGGGCAGAGATGCGATTACTACTGGGCGAGGGTGCTTTTCAGCGGCATGGCAAGCAGCGACAACGTGTGGCCGTATGAGGCAAGCATGAGTAAACATACATTTCTTTTGTGTGAAGGAAAGGCGGATGGATCAAAGTGCATGAGTTAGACTCTGTTGGTCCGCAACAAGAACTAGCCAGCAACGTCATCCTCTGCCTGACAATAATAGCTATTGTGGGCCTAGTCTTCATAGCACCTGTATGCAAGGCTCAAAACCTGATTAGGGCAGAGGTACATGACCGGGATCAATCCGCTATGTGGCCCCAGGGCAAAAAAGTAGGTCCCTACTGCACAATGTAGCCTAAATATGTGAAAGGCAGCATTAAATGTGGCGCTAAAGGAATAGTTTGCAAATTTGGAAAATATGCTTATTTGCTTAGTTAGTTTGAGTTAGTTGTCATTTAGGTATAAAGCTAGAGTAAAGGTTAGCAGTTAACTATCTTAATTGATCATAAACAAAAAGTCATTGTCAAGAAATAATCTGTCATATAACTTTCAGTAAAACTGCAATTATTATTATTTAACTTTGTTTTTTTATATAATTCAACAAAGAAGATAAAACACGCTAATTTGTGAGCTTTAGGTAAGTGGATTTCTATTTATAAGTTTTTCTATTGCTACATAGCCAATATTAGTATTAACAGCTGTTTACTTATCAGTTGAGAAGAAACATTGCAAGTCCATCATCAAATTTCATCTCTCTACTCACCAAGAGCTTGTTTTGCTTCTATTTATATCACTTCTTTTCTTTTATTGAAGATAGCATGCTGACCAGCTCTAATACTGAGTTACCATAGCTCCCAGTCTGGCCTGAAGACATAACACTGCTCAGAGGATGAATTATAACCTCTTATATTGTAAACGCAACAATGGCTGAAGCTCTTGGCAAGACTGGTAAATAAATACCTGTTAATGCTAATGTGTAGCAGTAGCAAATCTTACAAATAGCTTCTTTAGAGTTAACCGACAGGTGTAGGGTTAAGAGTTATATTAATTATATAAATTGATTAATCCTCTCATTGAATATTCAGCAAGACAACAAATTAGCATATTTTGAAAAATGTCAAGTTATTCTTTTAAATTACTCTTACAGTCTTGACCAGTTGAGAGACTCCGATTTACTGGTGCATTTCTGCAAGCAAACATGAGTGAATCAAATCACTCCAAACTAACTGGCAAACAATAAAGAGGGTCTGTGGCTCCTATTGCACAGGCGGTAGTCCAGATTTGCAGAGGTGAAGAATACTTGATATAAAAAATTTTATGTAGGCTATATGTAGTGCCTTCTGATTGTCAGTATCCAACAGTTCTAACAGTGTGAAGTTTCTTCTATTAATCAACAGACTTACTGTAAAGCTATCTCGTCCAAACATCTCATCATTGTGAAGTTTTGAAAATTGACATTCTGAGAAACTGGATCATTTCACAGCAGAGTGTAGAGAAAACAGCTGCTTTTCTTATGCAACTGAGAATGATTCACAAAACACATTACTACACTAAATGGGATTTTAAAGAATGGAAAAAGAGTGAGAGTGGAAATTTGTGGTAGTTATAGCCCAGTGCAAGAGTGAGAAGTTTGCTTATTCTAACCTAGATAGCTGCTAAGCAATCATGGGCTCGGGTGGCTCCAGTGTTAAGGTTCACAGTTTTATCGACAGGATGTGCTATTGATATGTTTTTCTGTTTTGGTATTTTATACAATACAGTTGCAGACTTGAAACTTGCTTTAGAGAAGTCATCCCTCACATTATTGCTGTCAAAGTTACATCATTGTAGCTCGGTCACCCCACCACGAATAATGTAACTTTGAAAAAAAAAAAAAAATGAAATACACTAAAACACTCAAAGCACGGTCTATTCCTGTCTGATGCAGTTCACAGATGCATGCGCACAGACACAGTGCTTCATTGTTTTCTTCTTTGCTCAGGGAGCATACAGCACAGTCTGCATTCACAGATAAAATGAATGTACTGGATGTAATGTAATGTAATTTTCTGCCCAGCACCTCGGTGCCACTTTAGTTCAAATGATCCAGGCCTCGCCCAATCTGGTCTCAAATACAGTACATATGTTTTCCGTCCTGACAGTGTTCAGTCACTACAGTGGGTTATTACTGTCAATGTGTTAGGAGAACGCGGTGCTCTGATTCTAATATAAACCCATAAACATGTGTAGCACAGAAACTCAGGTCCAGACCCTTGCAGGTGAAATATGTGCCACTCAGTCACCCATGCAGCAAGCCACTCAAATAGGCATAAATTAGAGGCCTTGGATCAATGCCCTGTCTCCCATAGGCGAACCGCTGTGGCACAACACAATCAATTCTATCCTGGGATTCATTGTTCCAATTACTAAGCCTCGTTCTCTGTTGCAACAGTAAGGAGGGTCGACTGGAATCAGCCCCCATCAAACATTAATACCAGCGCTGAATCCGAATCAGCTAATCGGCATTCTGTAGAGAGGGGGGATTCAAGTGGTGGTAGGAGCATCTGTTGCTGTCATCAGCTGATGTAGTGACCAAAATGGCCGTGTAATAGCAATGAACACAATGTGTGTTTAAGTACTGTATGTCATAAAAAAAATACTGATCTGGAGAAGCCAGCAAGGGGGGGGGATTTCAATAACTGCAGGCAGAAGTTATAAATCAAAGGATTGATCGGTTCAGCACTCCGACATACATGCACAGCTGCACTACATGGTCTAAATGGGGAATTAACAAGACAGACTGCCCCTATTTCCCCTATGGAAAAGTGTGTTAAATGTACTAGAGCAGCATATACAGTGTATGTCTGTTCCATCTTGCTATAGTCAGGTCAGACTCATTGAATTACAGTACGTATTATGGTCATGTGACCGGGTTTGTGTAAGATATGATATCACAGGAGGGTGGGGCAGGTTGAGGATTAAAGCAGGAGTGTGCACAGTAGATGACAGGTGTGTGTGTGTGTGTGTGTGTGTGTGTGTGTGGTTCAGTGTCTCTAAATCCAGGCTCCCTCCTGGGAATACTGAACAATCCCCAGGAGGGAAAGAGGAGGAAGTGACTTCATTCACAAATGCACTATTAAACACAACAGGTCAGATGAGTGAAATTTGATCATTTATTTTATAGAATTTCATTGCACAACTTTACACAGGTAGTAATGTACACCTGAGTGATTAAATGTTCCCAGTAAAACATTCTGTGTTTGACTGTGTCATCCAAAGACCCATCCCTCATCTTTATTATTGCTGTGATCCGCTCTGTGCAGCTCATGCACACATTACATAAACACAGGCAGACTCACAAGTTGATTAGATCTGCTTATTTACTGTTGTATAATACTGGAATATATTGTATATACTGGAAATAAGGATTCAGAAATGCCTATAGTATCTCAGTTAGATGAATTTAAGAGTCACCGGATGGCAATTGAAGCAAGTTTCACTAAAATGAGCACGCAAGTCTCTATTTTAATCGTTCATTAATCTGTTGAATTATTTATGCATTATCTGCAGGGGGTGGGTGGGAGGTTACTGCTGCCAGACTGAGAAGTAGGAGAGAAAATTACTATGTTGCACACTGTTGCTGGCAGTTAATGCTGTGTTACCATTTATAGGTAGGCATAAAATCGTATTAGCTGTGTGCACAATGCTTCTGACCCAACTGTGAGACTTGGACTTGGGATGATTCAACACACAAAAACACACTAGGACACACACAGCTCAGTTGCACCCCTTGCCGATATCACAAATTCCCTGTCAGCTGAAAATATGCTCCAGTCAGCAGAGCTGTAACCCCTATAGCAGCAAAATAGCTTAGTGGCGTCTCTTTGTCGCTGTATTCCTCTTCCTTGTGGTCCCTCTGGGTTCTCAACACCTAATGAATACGCATTGAATAGCTTACTCACTCATTGTCATCTGCGCTGTACCGCGCTTTCCTCTCTTCTACTGGATTAAGGCCGACAAGCTGATATAGATGGATGGTTTGAGTGGGTAGTGGACGATGGGCCTCGGTTCAGTCGTTTCAATATTGTGTCACATTGCAGTCTGAGTAAAAAAATAAACAGAGGGAGAGTAATATTTACCCTGAAGAAACAAACCACCTCTACCTTTCAATTTAGTCCTATGGTACACAGTTATTTACACTTGCCTAGTATCTCTTTGTGCTCAAATGTTGTAAAGCCAGAGGTATTTTGGGGCTTGTATTCTGACACCCTCTCCTGGCAGAGTTGTGTAATTACAATCTTCACAAAAGGAACCCCACTGATGTAGGATTGCAGTATGTGTGTTAAAGGACTTTTATTCTCAGCTGAAGCACTCAGTGAAATACATTTGTAGGTAAGAAGACATTGTGTCTGAATTGCTGCAAGAGATTTGTGTTTGCAACCAAGTTCAAGGCATGTTTTTAATGCTTTGCTGTCATAACCATATTTTAAAAGTTTTATCTCCATGAGTATGCAAGTATATGTATACTAAACACATACACATACATGAATATGAACACTACATAATCATGGAGATGAAACTTTTCTCATCAACTTCTCATATCAACAAATGTAAAACCCAGAGTCCTGCCTCACAGCATCCAAACTGTGTATTTTAAGACACTCAATAACACTAATATAGTATTTTATGATGAGACAATTTAAAAATATATACTGCAGCTGTACATGATGTATACTTTGTACAAAATAGAACCAAAGCAAGTTTCCCCAGCTGAAATTGATAGTATTTTAAGTATTGAGCTGATTTAATTATTTCAATATCAGCTGTATGTTAAAAACAACAAATTAATGAATTTGGATTTAACAAAAGCTCTATGCAGAAAAAAATGTTTGCATAAATTATAAGTCTTTATTTCAAAAATTTTGTAAACTTTCCGCCCATATCATACCACCAGCATGTCGGCTGGAGGAGGTTTTAAAGGAATCTGACCGAGAGTGAACCTTTTAGCCTTAAACTGATTCAGTTCCTCTGGAGACAGTTTGCTCTCAGGTGAAAACAGACCGTCCAACGCCCCACCAGCAGACCCAGCTCCTGCTACAGGTGCAGCAGCTGCTGCCCCAAACCCTCCACTCATCTGTCCAAAACCACTGCTGCTTCCTGCTTGTGCTTCAGCTCCAAAACCACTCCCAAATCCTCCTCCGGTATTTGCTGTAGAGGAGAAGCTGAAGCCTGAGGCAGAGCCAAATCCTGAAGTGGCGCCTGGTTTATTGGTGTTTGGGGCAGCGAAGGAGAAAGTTGAAGCTGAAGAAGCAGCGGAAGAACCAAATCCTGAAGGAGGTTGTGTAGGAGCTGCTATGGCACTACTGAAGCCTGTTGAAGATGACGGTGCAGCTGAGGAACCAAATCCGCTACTTGGAGCAGCAAAGCTGAAACTGTTGGGCTGCACTGGTGGTGGAGCCCCAAAGTCTACATGGTCAGACAGACATTAGAGATAAAACGGGAGAAGTGGTTATTATGGATTTGATTCCCTCAGCAGTGTATTCTGATAGGACAAAAAGCTTGTTATATGCATTTTCTTCAATAAATCTGCTCAACTCAAATCTAGATGCATTCATGTGATTGGTTCCACACAAATCAGCCACTTGACTGGAATCTCAAACACTGTACTACATTTAGTCTAATCATCTGTTCAAGCACTGGATTCATGACAGATTAGGAAAACTGAATGCAATAGTTCTTTCTTGCAGAGAATGAAATGATACCATTCTCATATGTGTCTGTTCAATAGGAAGCAACAGCCAGCAGCTAGCTATCTTAGTGTAGCACAAAGACTGGACGTTACATCTCTTTATTAAATTTGTTTTTTAAGAGGGGCTACTTCTGGGCTGTGAAGAATCTCTTCCTTTATTATTTTGTAAGAAAGCAAATTAGAATATTTCATAAAATGTTGAATTTATGCCCTTATACTGTTACATTAAGCAATGTTTAATCTTAACCTTTGCTTCCAAAATCAGATGTAGAGGATCCAAATCCAGTCGCTGTCACTGAACCAAAGCCACTTGAAGATGCCTCAGGTGCTGGGTTGTTTAACTCTGCGAGCTGCAGGGAAAATAAACATATTAAATATCAAAACATGTTCACTGTATTTAAAAAAGGCCATGCAGAAAAACATATAGGAATATTGTTACAGTGACTGTATGAGTGTTTTACCAAAGCTGCGCGTGTGGCTGGATTCATAACCTTCAGTTCCTGGACTCTGCTTCTCCACTGGTTGAGCAACTGATTGACACCATTAATCTAAAACACATGAAACAGGTTTTTCTTAAGACTGCAAATTTTCAAATTCCTGCAATTCATTATTTTACATTTGAACAAACACTGGATTAATTCAAGATCATGTGACAAAATATTGAAATACATTAACCTTATTGAAATGAATAAGAATTTCACAGAAGCTAGTGCCCTCTTGACTTTCTTATTGGCCTGAAGACAAATATTACGAACGACATTAATTAGTAACACTTCACTTACATAGCCCTGCAGATCTCCTGAAGCTCTTGTGGAGTAATACTCCAGCCTGAGCTCCTCTGGTGAGAGATCAGTGAAACCTGAAGAAGATAAAAAATAAAATTTCTTGGTGATTGATACAATAAACCCATCATTTACAACTAGTGGTAGGGCTACAAATGACAACAGAAATCATGTAATTAAATGTATATTTGATACAGACCACTTAAAGGTGCCTTGGAGTTAGAATAACATGAGAAGCACCACTGCCGTGAACTCTCCCAAACCTCTATGTCCATCTGAATGATCTCCCTGGGTGATCATGAGACAGACATCACACTTGAATTAATTTCTCATGACAGATAAACATTCATTTTAATTCTGCACATCTTAAAAAACATGCAGACTCACAGTTTTTTGTCATCATCTTCATCACCAGCTGTTCCTCCTCCTCTTCCTCCCCTGTCAAAGTTGCTGGGAGTGTTCAGCGCTGAAAATCTGTTGAAGCTGAACTCTGAGCTCTTCACGTTATCTCTTCTCCCTCCACCTCCTCCTCCTCCTCTGCCCCAGTCATTTCCTCCTCCACGACCCCAGTCATTCCCTCCTCCACCTCCTCTACCCCAGTCAGCTCCTCCTCCGCCTCCTCTACCCCAGTCAGCTCCTCCACCTCCTCCTCCGCCTCCTCTACCCCAGTCAGCTCCTCCACCTCCTCCTCCGCCTCCTCTACCCCAGTCAGCTCCTCCACCTCCTCCTCCGCCTCCTCTACCCCAGTCAGCTCCTCCACCGCCACCTCCACCTCCTCCTCGGCCCCAGTCATCACCTCCGTGAGATGAGAAGGATGAAGGCTGGATATACCCTCCTTTTTGCTGGTTAGGATTAACCCAAACTCGGTTCCCAAATCCTGAAACACATGCAAACCAATACCAGTCAATTTCAAGTTCCATTTCCACTGTATTTACAATAACTATAGCATGGTTGTCCATCTTGAAAGAGGGATACTTCCTCTGATTCTCCTTTTTAACAGCCCAATAAATTTTTTTTTTGCATGTGTGTGTTTTGTGCTAGTGTATGTGAGTACTATGTTTCCTTATGAGAATTGAGGGTCTAAAGCTATATATGTTATACAGATTGTAAATCCCTGAGATATATTTGTGATTTTGGCATTCATAAATAAAATGAACATGAACATTATATTTGTGAGCAGAAAACAGGAAATATTGGTTACTTCTACTCAGTCTTACTTCCCAATTCTCACTATCTTTAGCTGCCCCGTAATGCTTGTTTATTTATATTTACTAGCATTGCTTGCTGTCCTCACATTGTGAATTCAAACTGGTCACAACACTGGTAAGACTCTGTCTGTTTCACATAAAATAAAACCAGAATACAAAGTCTCTGTAAGTCACCAATGCAGCCAACATTATACACAACACTGGGCATGTTTGATGGCTGATGCTGATAAAATTAATCATCTTTACACTCAGTTGCCATTTTATAAGGTATATGCAACTAATGTAGTCTCGTGCGACTACCTGGAAATACTAACTTTACCTTCATGAAGGTTATAATGTTCAGTTTGTTTGTTCGTTTGCTGAACCTGCTGTAGTTTGTGGTGCTGTTTCTACTATTCACTCTAGCTTTACTGAAATGGTAGTTGAGGTTAAGTTCAAATAAAATGCTTGAGTCGACTAGCTAGCTAACGTAACAACACACAATGGACCAGAAACGAAAGTTAACAACCACTTGGTCTGTAACTGTTACCACACAACGGACCTGCTTACCGAAAAACAACACTATGAGAAGATTAAGTTCATATTTATTTCTCGTCAACGTTACCTCCACCTCCTCTGGACTGCTGCTGACCAGAAGAGCGGCTGTAGTTGTTGTTGTTGTATCCTCCTCCACCTCCTCCACCACCACCACCACCACCACCTCCTCCTCCTCCCCCTCCTCTGCTTCCTCCCCTCGGATGCTCATTCCAACATTTTTCGCCGTAACGACAACGACCCTGAAGAAAAAAGTTGCACACTGTCATTTTTCACTTAGTGTTGTCTGTGTCAAATCCAGCCTTTATCCTCTGAGCTACAAATGGCTCCCTCCCGCTCTCCACAATGTTTTCATGCGACTCACGACGAGGCGGCGGCACACGCTCGGGTCGCAGCAGATTGACGTCAGCGTTGACCGTCGTGAAGCACCAGCAACAACAGCGACCCCACGTGGCAGTGGAGTTAATTTTCAGTAACTGGAGCTGTTGATGTCAGGAAAAAAAGACAACAGGCCCGTCATCCAGTCAGCAGTTCCTCCATAGGAATGTTTTCAGGAGCAAGAGCAGGAGTTTCCGCATAGCTGTTAAATGTCATACTTTGCACCACAGAAGATATAAAATGTGACAAACTGTCTACTTCATGGGCTGGCAGCATACGCTTTTTGGTTATTTAATGTCCTTTTTGTGGTCATTTTATGTATTTTAACTGAGCTCTATGATTTTTGATCAAGGAATATTAACTGCTATTTCATACAGAGGATCTTGCCAGGGGCCGCCTGACTTGTCAGGACCCAGGTCCTGTGCCCAATAGGCCCATTTGGTCATCCATCTATGTGTCAGCCACTTTTTCCCCATGCCACACACCATACATCGATACCCTGTCATCTCTAAGTTCCCTTGAAATATAACAGCTCCATTACATGCTCAGAGATGAGATCAGAACCCAGGTTTCCTGTGTCTTAAGTTTATTGTAATTTGATTAAACACAAACTTTTAGAAATACTGTATGCATCATGTGACACTGATATATACTATTTAAGATCTTTAAACAACAAGATATGTTGTAACAATGTATTTGCCAATATAATTTACTGATGCAAATTGGTAACATTTCTATCAAATTCAGAAATGGTTTGTATTTTTCAGTAAGTGTACCTAATAAACTGGCACCTGCATGCACAAACTAATAATAATAGACAGCGATGTAAGTTGTACCGCCCGAACAGGTGCAGCAAATAGCTTCAGAGATTTTAATGATTCATGGTCTGTGAACACATACACGCACTATACTGACAAAAGCTGTAATCAGCCATAAGTGAAAACACCTGTGGGCATGTTGTGTATGAGCATAAAACTTCTGTACAATTGTACAGAAGTGAGCACAAGAGTCCGGTATATATCTAACACTTGAGAGAAATGGTTGGTATTTTCAATAAAGAAGTTAACTTCCTGGAAAGTCAAAGTGTTAACTGCACTGAAGTGCTGTAAAATAACTACATTGGGGTCCACCCAGTCAGGGCAGCAGCACACCATTCATCAAGGTTTACACACCTTGTCATGATTAATTATTCACTCATTTTTATCCAACTTCATGTAGGCTAGATAATAATTATGCAGGCACTAAAAGACTGTTCTTTGGGATCTTAGTAATAAAAATAAAAATCTTAAAATAAGACAAGATTTTTAATAAGAGTTTCAATTGTCTGTTGTTTTCACCACAGAGCACAATAGTTAACTTCAAAAGTAAAAAATTTCCTTGAATATTTTTATATAGCCTACTTTATTTGCAATTTAGGTATGACACAGATTTAAATGCAAAGATTTTTTCTAAATTATTGTATGCCTTCATATAGGATAAAGTGAAGCTTTTTTTCAAGTAACAATAAATTACGATGTTAACTGTCAAATAGGAAAGTCGCCCATGCCATTGAAAAGATAGCTTCATAAAACTATTGCTCATGTATAAACACACATAAACTTCATTAAAAAATATAAGTTCTCCATTTTAAAATAATACAATATTTTTGGTATTCAATATATAATGTTTCTGTTAAATACAGATAGTTTCATAACAATTTGATTATAAGCAGTAGCAGCAATAAAATGCAGTTTCATTCAAAATCAAAATCCTAGCAAGAAGAGGTGAGCAACACTTTTCAGCACACTGTAGAAATGTTGATTTTGTGTACCGTTGGCAAGCATCAAATTTCACATTTTGCTGTTAAGTGAAAAACATGAAACCTATGACCTATGAATCTTTCTTAAGAAATAAGAACTGTTTTCAGCTTAATCACGGGTTTTTCTCAACTTACTAATCAACAACATTCATTTGAATGTGAGCTAAAACTGAATAAATAAAAACAACTGAATTTATACTAAACAATAATAAACTTTTGGAAATATTTATCCAAAGTGCCTGATCAAGTACCAAACATGGTTCATTGATGTGTCTCAGTGAGACAGAGCTGCACTACAGTATGGCAAGTCATTACATAAAATATATATCGATTTTTTTTAAATATACAAAAAATGAAGTGCTTTTTGCTGTAAGTGTGCTTTAAGTAACAAAAATATATATAGGAAAAGTAATATAACAATATTCTCTGTATAATAATGTAACAAATATCAAGCAACATTAAAAAAACAATAATAGTAAAATATAAAGATGTTAGGAAATTAACTACTGTAAGCGTCGACTCAACAAACTTTACAATAAAGAAAGAAATGGACAGAATATAGTCCATAAAAAAAAAGAAAAACAAGTGTGCATGCAGAAACTCCTCCTACTTCAGCCCAGTGCACAGCAAAGACAATCCATGTGTGCTGAGGCAGAGGATCAAAGGCAGAGCTTCTGCTTTATCTCCTGTCTCCGTCCACAGACTCTCAGCGTTTCTCTTCAGTGTTACATTGGTGGAGCTGAGCAGCTGTTCTGCCAGCTGGAAAGTTTGGTTGTCCTGCAGCAGGATGGGAAGACGCTGGATGGAGAGAGTCCCGCTGCTCTCCTTTAACCTGCACATCTGGTGAAACATTTAGATGGACAGATAGATAAATAACTCTTTGTTGTAAAGTCTTGGTTTTAAGGATTAAATCTTATCTTTCTTAAAGGAATGGTGCAACATTTTGTGAAATGTGCTTACTCACTTTTCTTGCAGAGAGTGAGATTAGAGGATCTCTACCCCCACATGTTTGCACATTAAATATAAGCTACAGCCAGCCACTAGTTAGCTTAGTTTAGCATAAAGACTGGAAACAGATGGAAAGAGCTAGTATGGCTCTCTGCAAGACAGCCAATAATCATATTCCCCATAATACTGAACCATGCCTTTAAAACAAATGAACGTTCTTATCTATAACAGCTAACAATTTAAAGATGTGCAATGAGTGAAACAAGCTAACTAACCAGTGTGTTGAAGGCCTCCAGAAAATCAGCACGGCTCTCACTCAGAAGGCTCAGTGTTTCATCAGGCAACTCTAAAACAACATTAAACACATCAAGATTAAATGATAGAAAATCATTTATAGCGTACCACCATGTGTTGCTCAGAGCACAGTGAGGAAAATGTTTATAGCCCTCAAGGTTGGGAGTTTCCTCTCACCTTCCATAGCACTGACCAACAGGTGAGTTGCATTCAGGTGCGCAGGACTGGCAGCCTGGCTGCACTCGCTATGAATGTCTAAGCTGAGTCGATCCATATCTTGGTTGGCCATATCGAGTGTGTCATCACCACACAACTTCGCCAGCTGACAGAAAGAGAGGCACAGAGATGCGGGAAAATGGAGAAAACAGAAAATGTAAAAGCAGAGGAATGGTTTGAGATATCTGCCTCAATATGTCTAGGATAGAATAAACAGTGGGTTTGGGAAAGTGTCCCTTTGGGTTAGTTGACTTGTCACACAGTTACCCTGTAGGGATTAACCCAAACCCTGGTGTGCTGTCTTGATGTTGGGGTAATGCCATTATGTCACTCACCACACACTGCAGGTATGACAGAGCAGTTCTGTCCCTCATTGTCTCTTGTAACTTCTTGAACAAGGCGCATCTAGTTGACTGGTTGAGCTCTGCCAGTGGAGACAAGTCCATCTCCTGTGATCCTGTCAGAGAGTGGGAGATACTCCATCAGATTTTAAGCTGAGGCTACACTGACACAATATTTGCTTGGTACTAGCATCAGTCATCTTCCTTTGACATGACGGCTGCACCACACTGGATGGTTTAGAGAACAACCTCGCTCACAACTGTTTGACTTTTTTATTATTAGGTATTATAAAGCACTTTAGGTATTTGCTCATTATAAACTAAACAGTGAGATAAACAATGCTCAACATACATCTATCCATGTAAGCCATGTCTATTTTGGTCAACATATAATTCCCATTTGTTTTTGATATTCCAAATTTTTTACCTACAAGTATTTACCAAGGTCTTGTAAACTCAACCTGTTACCATAATTATTGAACGTATTATGCAACCAAATTTGATGACACATGCACATATCAATTCTGACAAATCCTGCAAAATTTGATGACTTTTTGCCCATAAGTTAGGTAGATAGTTGTAGGTGGTGCTACAGCAACATAGAGAATTTAATAATAAAAAATAAAAATAATTGATTTTGATGCAGATCCAAATCCAAATGCTGATTAACTAACAATTAATAATTCCATGGTGTGTATTATAGTTCAGTTTAGTCCCAGTTTTTACTAACATTTCAGAACAAATTACAATTGCAACTTCTGATGCAACAGTTCATTGGATCCGCATTGTCATGTGTGTATTGGAGAAAAGGAACCTGCTTCAGGTCTGTTATTTCACTTCCTCAAAATATGGGGATTGTTAATGGAATCTGAATAACTGTAATTTCTTTGTCATCAACGGGTTACTAGCTAAATGTTTGAGTGAATGACTGTATGGAGGGATGGACTAGGACACTGGTGATTACAAGTCATAGGAGAAACATTTGTTAGTTACCTAGTGATTTAGTTTTGCTGTGTATGTGTGTATGTATGGTATGTGTACACATACGTGTGTATTTTTTTTGTTTGTTTGTTTTTTCTTTTTCTCTTCTTTCTCTCCTCTCCTTTAATTTATCAGTATTTCTCCTGAGCTTATCCACTCTCATACTTGTGTATGACATGTCTTGGTTGTTTGAAAAAGTAATAAAGAGAGTGTTTAAAAAAAATGTTTGAGTGAATGGATACAAACCATTTTGCAGTGTTGGAACATTCTCTCCATTGCATTTGCCATCCACAACATTCAAGGAATCCTGGGATGGCCAGGTGTCTGACTCAAAACCTCCTATAGTGCCAGGTTGCAGGCATATATCTAAAAATACACACAACATCACAGGTAAGCGCAGAGAGGAGGAAACACAGGTGCGGTCAATTGGATGCATGCACCTATAACACAGGCACAGTACACAGGCATATTAGCAAAGACGAAATGAACATTAGCCTGTTGTAACACCCATAATAGAGAAATTATCCTATGATTCACTCTTTCGTCACACACACTCACGCACATGCACAAACACACGCACACACACACACTCACCATAGTGTCCATTCTTTTTAATCTCTAGTTCCAGGATGCTGTATGCAATGACGGTGTCAGAGGGGATCTCCAAAGAAACATCACTGTCCATCTCAATGTTGTTGGTGTCCTTCACACACACCTGAGGATACACATATAAACACATACACATACACAGGTGTGATTTATAGAGACTGATATTGACTGCACTATTTTGGAGGATGAAGCTCTGGTATCTGTGTAATTAGACTTTTGACAATTTTACAGCAACAAAAAAATACAGATATTCAGTGTTTCCCCCAATAATGAAATCAACCTACCAAATATACGTAAATGTATAAAATGATCATATATGTAATAATGAATTCCCATCCACACCTACCTTAACAGAGCTCCCCAGGATGTCCAGCAGCCCGACCACGCCCTGAAAGATGCACTGCTCCTTCTTCGTCTGGGTGATGGAGCAGGAGTTGGTGGTGACAATCCTCTCCTTCACGACTGCGAGCACATCAGCCCGCTTCTCCAGCTGCTGCACCAGCACGTGCTGCATGTCCACCAGCCTGGAGAAGAGACAAACAGGTCTTAATCTACAAAAGCAAAGTGTGCATTTATGAAAAGGGGCAGGTATGAAACAGATCATGTAGAAACTCACTGCAGTGTATTCAAGGCTTATGACACTACTGATCTCTGTTAGTTGTGGTTAAGTCTTTGCATGACACTGGTCTGAGGGGTCAAATGTCTAATGTCTAACTACATTTTTAAACTGTTCACCTCATCAATGATAAAGTCATCATCCTGTTACCTTCTTCTGACTAGCCGCAGTGTGCAATCAGTATGAAAGGGAATTATTTATCACCTGCTTCTGGAGTCACGTAATAGCTTCTTCACATCCAGTTCCTCTTTTTTCAGCTTGCCAAAACATGATTGGAGCTTGGTAGTGCCCTGCCCCTCCAGCGCGACACTGACAGAGCCGGCCTTGGTTTTCAGCTTTCCGGAGAGTTTGTCACCAAACGTCCCCTTGTAGGTCAGGAATTCTGTCTCACACAATCCTGACAAGACATGTGGTATAAGATGTGTTTGAGAAATGCTCCATGCACTGTGAGGATATCTACTTTGTGAAAAATGTTACATATACGTATATATATATATATATATATATATATATGTATATGTAACATTTATATATATATATATATATATGTATATATATATATAATGGTCATATAGCTTTAATTTTTTTTTTTGTGCGTGCACACCTACATACCAGGACTAAGCGTTTTGTCACCCAGCAACAAGTCACTGAGGGTGAAATCCGTTGGTTGGTACTTGGGCCTTTGCCAGAACCAGAGGCGGTTGCGCTTGACGACGAGTGCCATGGGAACCAGTTTTTGGGAGTCATTTACTCGTGACACGTGGATGAGGCTTCCCTCTGGGTCAATCTGACGGACGAAGTTGGCAGTGGCCTTGGAAAACATGGCTTCAGTAAATGAAAACTGCAGACAGCTGAAAGAGAGAGAGAGAGAGAAACTTCTAAGGCTTCAATTTGAGTTTATTTTGTCCACTGGAAGGCATTGAGAGCAAAGACAAGAACTCTGAAGTGCTTTCACTGAAATGCTAAAGCACTAAGGGTGATTTCCAGTTGGTATTCTCCCTATATTTCCCCTCATGATAAAGTTTATGAAGGTTTGACAAATCCCAGCTAAGCAGATCCTGTATGGGTGCGTGAGTGAGCACCACATAACCCCAAAACCTCTGTTTTGTGTACTGCAACCAACTGTAGGCAGTGACTCACAAGGACCAAAGGAAGTCCCCCTGCATGTCATTAACATATTAGAGTGACCTCAGATAGGTCACACATGCAAACACACACACACACACACACACACACACACACACACACACACACACACACACACACACACCTCAGTGCGCTAATTGTGCTGGCTCAGTTTTCATAGCTTAAATATTTAAAGTAATCAGGCGTAAGGGGGATTTGTGCTGTGAGGGAAGAGAGGGAGAGAGAACAGAAGAAAGTTTGAGCTGTGTTCCTGCTGGTTTGGGTAATGTTAGAGGTAAACATAAGAATGAAACCTTGGCTGCGGGACTGACAAAACAGCCAGTAAGTGGGGAAATAAATGTAAAACAGAAGACCTCTGAATGAAATCAAGAATGTCACCACCCACTCTGAACAACATCACAAACTCCCCCTGACATGGTTTCAGTGTGTTGAGTCAGTTGGTTTGAATAATTAAAGCGTTGTCGTAACGTTAAGGACAACATTTCTCTAACCCCAAACTCGAATTCCCAAAGCTCAAAGATGCTGCTTCTAAATATTTTATGTATCTTTTGTTTAGAGTGATCTGGAGCGAGGAAACAAGATGGGGGGGGGGGGGGGGCATTAATAGAAATAGGGACATTTTTGAATAAACATATAGTACATGTGGTCAAGGTGGCATGCATACAAATGTCACCAGGTTTGGAGTATGTGTGAGCAAAGGTATAGTAACATGTGTTTGTCCAGTTATGTAAAGACAAATATAATGGTTGTTTAAGGCTGTTCACCGTAAAGCAAACACCTTTTAGAGAAGTAATACCCATGCTTTTCAATAATAGATACAGAATTACAGAATACATAACAATACACATTACTAGCATCGTTTAACGCAAATGTGACCTCAAATATTATCAGTTCAAATTAGCTACTGAACTGAAATGAACTGATTATAAACAGATGATAAAAAACACACACACACACACACACACACACACACACACACACACACACACACACACACACGCACGTGTGCCAGACAGAGCCCGAATAGTTCCCGGCAGCCCACTTATTCCGACATACCAGGCTGCACCGCGCGTGCCAGCACGATGAGATCAACTGCGCACGAGCCTTAAGGAGAACCTGTGACTCGTACTGTGAATTTTATTAGAGTGAAGATCATGTTTTGACCGCAAAAGCATAACAAACCGACCATGTTGGTTAGCTCGAGTAAACTAGACTAACAGTGGAGTCTCTTTTAGTCATTTTCTGTCTCCTACAGTCCGGATAAATGACTGTTAGTATAAATAAAAGATCTCTCTTACCTCAAATAAGATAACAAACAACTCTATGAAGATGACTTTACGTCGTGCGAACTGCGATCCTGTTTTCACTCCTGGATCGTCAGCCAGGTTGCCATGCGTAAAAGTAGACGAAGGTGTCCAAACGCAGAAGGAGTCCCCTGGGTTTCAGAGTGACACCTCTTTCACGGTATTAATTACAACACTAGGAGTAGTAAAAGGCAGAGCAACGATAACAGCGACGGAAACCAGTGATACTGACAGTGTTAGGTCAGAGCTGTGGCTGAGCGGTAGGGCTGTACAGTTGTCCACATGTTCCTCCTCCCTCTCTCTCACTGAGCCTTAATTATGATCATATGAAGTCCTCTGTGTGTGTGTGTGTGTGTGTGTGTGTGTGTGTGTGTGTGTGTGTGTGTGTGTGTGTGTGTGGGCGTGTGTTTCAGGACAAGAGCAGACTTGTCTCTATGATTTTCTTTTTTTTTATCAGTAAATTATTAATGTTAAATGTTTCCAAATCAGGTCTTGTTGATTCATTCATATCTGTCACTTTCATGCCAACCTGCAATACAGTTACAGTTAGAGTTAGAGTAAGTAGGAATGCAGAAGTGGTTTGACACAGGTTGCCACTGACCACACTACATCCTTTCTAATGTAGAACATCACAGTGATGTGCTTCAACTTAAAAAAAAAAAATCTGTTATAATATTATTTATTTTTAAATCACACAATATCTCACAAGCCAACTAAATCATTTACTCTCCATGGAGCAGTGCCAGAGGTTAACATGAAGCCGAAAGAGTGGCAAAGGGTTAGGTATAGCAATCCCCTGTATATGTGACAGAAGAACATTATAGTCTGTGTAACTGTTGTTGGGGCCCATATTTAACATGGGCATTCAGATTAAAAGTCGAACATTGTAAAGATTAGGTTTAGGAGTGAGTGAGTGCGTGAGTGCATTTTATACTTGTCGGTGGTGATAAGTAACTTATCAAGGGCTTTTTAATGGATGCACCCATATGCACAAACACCATAGAGTCATAATTGGTCCAGGACTACTGTAGCAGTCTGCTGAGGGCCCTCTGATCACTGTTGCTGCTCACGCAGGAGATATTCACAAGTTTTACTTAAGTAGACGCATTAATTTCACAATACAACTGAATCAGCACAGAAGCACTTTAAGAGAGTTATTATTTACATGTATTAAAAGAAATATAATGTTGTAATTTTAACTATTTAATAGACTGTGTGGTTGTTAAATCTGCTGCTGATCATTTGTTTTGTAGGCAGGCCAAATCTCCAAAGTAAATAGGAAGTAGAAAGTGGAATAAAATAAAAATGCAACATAACCTGCTGAATTGTGGAGAAGCAGAAGTATAAAGTAGCATACAATGCAACTACCCAAGTAAAGTGCAAGCACCTCGAAACTGTACTGAGTGGTACCCACACACACACACACACACACACACACACACACACACACAAATCAATGACAGAAAAGCAACCATATGAGGCGTTGTCTAAGGTCATCAGGACCAATTTTGGGGTCTGTGTGTCACTCAAAGCCACATGATCTGGTGATGGACCCACCAACCCTGCAAATACAGGATGTGGTGCTCTACCTGCTGAGCCACAGCTGCCCCATAAATGTACCTAGTTACCCTCCACTGCTGTCTGAAAATACAAGTATTTACTTTGCAATCTCACATTAATGCCGCTTTTTTACTGTGTTGGCACAGCTAAGTGTAAATGTGTTGAATGAGTGTATGAAAAAATTAGCCAGAATGCAAAAAATAAAAACTGCCATAACCACAAACTTTTTTTTTTTTTTTTTTTTTATAACAGAAACTGCAGGTTAAACCCTCACTGCAGTAATTTCTATAACATAATTTCAGGTTAAATTAATACTAATTATTCTATGCACTGTTCAATAACTTAATCTAATAAAGCAGTGTATGCATCTCATCAGATTGTTCTTTGTTGTGTCTTAATTCAGAAACTCCAGCTGTGGAGTATAAAGTGACATGGAAAAGCCTCAATTCTGACACAACATTTCATAACCAGACAATAGTGGACACATACCATTTGCTGTTTGAAATGAATGCGTCCCTATTTATTTGTAGGTAACCATAGCAATGGTACTTGATATTTCACCACAAGGTTTAGCAAAGGAATAAACATCAGAATTTAACCTGTGTGAGCAAATCACGAGCAGGAAATGGAAAACTTCATGCCCAAAGAGGAACAGCACAACAGAGGATATTGTGCCAAATAGAGAAAAAAGAGAAAAAAGAGAGGAGGAAAAAAAAAACCATAAGAACATCAAAAGGCAGTCAAAATGTTAATGGAAAAAAGTAATCTCATTTTGAGGCTATATTATAGAATTAGACAGGCCCCTTTGGATCAAAGCCTTTGTCAAAAATTTCTTTCACAATAAATCATAGAGCTGTGAGTGGGAACTGAAACATGCTCTTGCATCGTTTCATTGTTTTACTGAGACAGTATTAGACAGTATTTAATCTGAAATATCAAACATAAAAAGACAACTGAGTATGTTTTTTCTGTACATTATTCTGACATTAAAAAACAAGTAGGTTGTTGTACTGCGATATCAACAAATTTTTGTCACAAAAAATGTAGACTATACTATAAAATACCTGCTCACTGCCATAAATGACTAACTCTAAATAACTCCTTTGAAAGAACTGTAAGTGAAAGATACTGCTGTATGTGTCTTTTTCACAAACAGCTGCGTAGAGCATCTTTTCATGATCCTTGGTGGCTAAATAATACATGAGTGAACCAACAAAGACATCTGGCTAGTGTCTGGTATATTTGGATGGTAAACCTCAGGTTTTTCATACATGCTAACATAAGTCACAATTCAGCAATGATCATCTTTCTAAAACAAGGTTTTTATACTTAAATGAAATAAAGAAATCAGGGAATTAGAAAGCTTTATACAGTAATATATTTTAGAAGTTGGTATTTACTTTTGTGCTTAATGTGTATTGATTTAGCACAAGTGCTAACCAATAGTGCCATTCTTATATTCTATATTATACAATGTAGAGTGTGTATAGGCATGTAGTGTGTAGTGCATGTAGTATAATATAATATAGTATGCTGTAGAGATACAGTATATAATCTTTATTGGAGTAGAATACACTATAATTGATGTAATAACTACCAATTGACTCAAATAACTTAAAGATAAAATGATGTCTATATTTTTTTCACAGCGATCTGAAAGCCACAGTAAAAAGAGTGTCTCCAGCAACAAGTCCAGGATACTGGACATCAACAGAGCTAAAAGGGCTATGAGAGCTGTGCTAATTCAACACTGAGAGGGGCTGTGTGCTTCACACTAAGCCACTCTGCAACACTGTTCAGGAGAGACTGGGGCCCTGGATCCAGCGGGGCCCCCGTCTCCTCACCTCAGCCTCCAGTTGCTCTTTGACAGAGCCCAGAATCCTCTCAGAGAGGAGGATCGAATCTTGACAGCAGGGAAGAGCTTCGCAGTGGGTTTCCTTTGTGTTGTTAGTAAGATGATGCTGAATCCTGCAATAGAAGTCAGGTGGGTTACCAAGACTTGTATAATCCCTGTGGTTGGTGGCCCCTGTAAAAAAATGCTTTTCGTTCAATCTTAGTTCAAATCTTATGACCTTGTAGGTTTTGGTACCCTAAATGGAGAATGTATTTCAACACAGGGGCCATGGGCCAAAGATTATCCAGGGACTTATCCAACAAAAGGAGTTTATGGGCCTGTGGAACAAGATAATCGCACCGGGAGATAGATGCCCCTTGGACAAGATTTCGAGGAAGATGAGGCAGTAAAGAGGAAGTGATGGAGACACACAAGGACATGTGGAAAACATCAAATTTAGGCTGGCACGGAGGTTGTGCAATGATTAGCAGTGTCGCCTCACAGGAAGAAGGTTTTGGTAAAAACCTGCCGACCAGCTGGTGCCAGTGTGGGTTTGCTCCGGATGCTTCAGCCCCCCCCCCGCCCAGTCCAAAAGACATGCAGGATAATTGGAGAGTTTAAATTGCCTGTATGTGGGAATGACTGTCTGTGTATCCGTGTATGCCTTGTATTAGACTGGAGAGCTGTCCAGGGTGTATCCTCAATGACCCTGCAAAGGATGAGTAAGTATAGATAATGGATGAATTGGAAATTATGTATTGATCTGCAATCAGTCTTTCACATGTAATTGTCTAAAAACACTTTCTAATGATCATTATCTTTGGGTGGGATTCACTTATTTTTAGCATGAGAAAATCAAGTAACCAAAATTGTGGCTCATCCCTCACACACAGAAAGACAAACAACATGTGACACACCTTAACTTGTCTATCCATTGTGCAGTTTATTGTCTTCTTTTAACATGGAGTATTATTGCTTTTTCCCCCGCTGTAAAAAACTGTATCTACAGTCCTATGACAGTCATGTCATTACAACAAGGCAGCACACTGAAATAAGGCTGAGTCCCTCTTTTGCTGTGATCAGCCACTGGCTAAAGCAATCAGAAAATCCTGGTGTCATGATACTGACTGGATGTGGAATACTCAACCAACTTTTGACCTTTTGAACAAGTTCACTTCCAACCCTGATCCTATTTCCTCCAGTAAAGTCCACACATTATTGACATCTTCTGATGAGAAGTTTTAAAAGTCTCTTAATAAAAGTGTTTTTGCATAACTGCTAAAGCAGTTGATTGAGTGCAGCACTGCAATAAGAAGGCACTTTGGTAAATGCTGAGATGCAACAGAACATAATGATATTAATATTTACTCTACTCTGACACTGTGTAAATGTACAGTTACAATAATGAGAGGAGAAAGTGTACCCTTTAGGAGAAACATAATAAACAATAAAAACTACAACAGAAGTTCTACAGGCTCTGTCCCAAAAGTGGAAGCAGGAAGTCCATATTGGTTTAGGTTACCATGACATGGAGTGATTCATGTTAACCAAGTCAGGATTCTTGGAGGCTGGTCTCAGTTCTGTTTTACACTTCCCTCTATATGATAAGTCATAGTGGAGAGGTGTGGTCAAATCCAGAGGTCACCACAACACAGGGAAATCCATTATGCTGAAGCTGGGGTCTCTACGCAGCTCCCAGTAAGTGTTGTCGCTCACCCATGTGTCATCCTTAGACTTCCTGTTGACACAACAAGAATGAAACCTGTTTTTATCAATGAAACATTTTGAATGATACATCACTCACCTGTCCAACGCACAGCATATTAAATGACGTATTAAGTTTCCAGAATAATATTAGCTACACTGAAATTATTTTGTTTGAAACTAAACATAAATATCAATATTAACTTTGTGTGTATCCACTATAGTTTCATACTAAAGGTCTGATTCAAAACATAAGGGAGGATTGCATTTGTCTATTTTCTGGGTGTAACATACAGTTACAATGACGAGTAGAGCATCTGATGAGTTGATGAGTTGCATATAATACTTCTGAAATGGACATGACATAATGGACAATGACATAAAAGGGTAATAATGACTTTTTTTGTCATGATGAGCTTCAAATTTAGTCACAATTATTTCATCTCTGACCAACGGTCCCTTATCGTTTGGGACAGAATGATTACATGGAAAAACATGTGAACACTGTGTCTGATTGCGCACAAAGACTCATGCAGAGAACACACAAACACATATAGAGCCGCATACTTGAAGAAGCGTGGCTGGTGCATCATGTTGTTGTCCTGCAGCACTTTCCTCCTCTCCCTCTGGAGCTGCTCTATCCTCTGTTTCTGCTCCTCAGCTGCCTCTGGGTTCCCCTCCTCCAGCAGCCTGGACAAAGAGGACAGAGACAGTGAGCGAGTCAGGACGAAGAACAATAGAACATTGGTCTTATTAGAGCACCGCCACCATTTATCCGACTTTTTTTTTCTCCCACGCAAACGGGAAAACTTTGTGCTTTCCCTCCTAATGGACAGTAGCAGCAGAAGTAGATATAGCTGACTTCATGTATCTTTCCCAGTATAGCTCCTAAATGATCCCACTTCATTTTTAAAGTGTTCAGCCTTGGTCAGTCTCATTTAGAATGTACCATTGTAAATGCAATCATCTGCAGATTGCATTCACATTCTGAAGGTTCATTTTCTAGTGACACCGTAACAAGAAAAACACCTATTACTTTTTTCATTCATGTGCTTGTGTGGACAAATTATGGCATGTTTTTATCCAAGCTAAATTTTTTTACTAAAATCTTACTATGTTCTGTAAATATACTATAATCTTTTTCTATGAGTGGATGGTGGTGACTTCATGTTCATGGATCTAAACTCTCATAGACTGTTGCCATGGTTATGGTCATATTTCTGAAGTGTAGTACTTTGCACCACATGGACTTGGTCGACAAAATCATGTTCGCAAAATAAGTGTTTGGGGCTAAATGGTCAGTTTTGGTAGCTTTAAATCCTTTTACACAACAGGGTCATCTGTGCAGGTCATTAGAATAGAAAATAAATATAGAGATAAATAGTAACTGAACTAATAAGGTTTCTGTAGAGGTTAGGGATGAGGTCTGTGGAAACACTAACAGAAATCAACATTACAGACAAATAAAGAGTGCTAACCTCTGGTCCGGCCTGAAGCGTGTGTCTGTTGGGGGAAGCAGAGGTCTCAGGGTGGAGTCCAGCTCATTCAACTCCACTGCAAACTGGGTGAAGCCATAGTACTGTTCTTGATCCACTGGCATGGGGTCTACATATACACACATACAAATTTGCAGCTGTCATGTCATGTCATGTCCAGTATAGTTTTGTTTTGTGATCCAGCTGCTGTAGTGTGAAAGCTGTGTGACTGACATTTCCAGGAACCAATCACTCACTTGCTCTCCAGATGCACGTGGCAGAAGGTGGGTCTCCTTTAAACACAGACTCATGCCATTTTCCGAAAATGGAGTGTACAACTTTTCCATTTGAATCTGTAACCACTCCCTCTATCTCATTCACCGTGGAGCTCCATGATTTTGCCTGAAAGAGTAAAAGACAGAGGCAAAAATATTAATTAAAACATTAATATTTAGTCTAGTAGAGTACCACAAAAATTGCCGCTGAAAGTCTGGAGGCAGTAATTTATGCTCTGCAGGAAAATAAGAAATTAGTAAGTGAGACGAACATGTGCCACACTGACTATCCTCCTTGTAAATCTGACAGAGAGAAACCAAGGAGAGATTGACAGTCTGAGGGCAGCAGAGCGGTACGAAGTGGAGAGCCTACGGGAGATTCCTGCTGCAGAACCTCTGTGGCTTAGCTGTGGTTAATGGCTACGGAAAAAGCTCTGCCCACTGGCATCATCACTGTGGGTATCCTTATTCTTGCCACCACACTGTCAACAGCAACATAAAAACTAACTACTAAGCTGCCTGTGGGACCGTGACTGCTGGCTGCTGAAGCTCTACTGCAACTTCTAACACAAAGCACATTATCACTAAACAAGACGGGCTACATAAACAAACACCAAAAAACATCAGAGGCCCGTACTACGAAGCAAGTTCAACATACCCAGGATATCTTTTCATTATCTGGCTCCATTGAGCCTAAGAACGTCCGTCCGTTGACTCATGAGAAAGAGGCAGAGTTGTTAGTAACGAGCAACTTCGTCCGAGCCATGAATAAAGTACTTTATGTGATGTGAGAAATAATGCCGATACCTGCTGGTAAATTCGATTGTAGCTACATAGCAATGAGACAGTTCATACAGCTCTACAGCTGTATGAATTGTATGATACTGATGTCATAATTTCCTAACTAATACCCTAATTTCCTAAGGTAATGAAACCACACAGCTGTCTTGCATAAGGATTAAAGACAATAAATAAGTAAAGATATACCTGAGAACAAATGGATTGTTTGTTCTAGTTTCTCATGTTTTTATCTTTTGATAGTTCAGTTCCTCTTTTTGCCCAGAAGAGGGCGCTGTGTGCTTTGATAGTGTTGATGGTACAGAATACAGGGAGTGAGTCTGTTTGAGAAGGCAGCACTGCATGAAAAAAGCACTACTTTCTTTTCTGTCTGTTCTTGATAGCTCAGAGGATGATGAAGCTAAAAGTCTAGTGCTAAATGTCAGACGGCTAATGATGTAAGGTCACTCACAGAGGTTCATGTGACTGTGACAAATCAAAACATACTAATAGGAGAAACAACAGTAAGAGTTATTGTACAATTAGGTATAGTCTCTATAATAGCACTACACAAGAAGGAGCAAGTGACTTCCCACAGAGACTGAAGTTTTTCTACATCATTATGCTTTGAAACATGACAGTGATTTAAACATTTGTTTCCTGACCTTGACAAATGTGACTTTACACTGGCAGACGTCACTGTTGATATTTTTGATGGACATCTCTCCGTAGTGTTCGATCCAGCGCTGGCCGCTCAGGATGTTATGGATGCAGGAGGTTACTTTGTTCCATTCGTAGTGGTCGCCAAAGCTGGAGAAATCAAACACGTACTGTATTTAATAAGTCCAAAAAATGTAAGGTTTCATTCCTAATACTTACACTCACAGCCTATGCAGTGCATGGTGTTGTGAAACCTTGTGTTAAACACAGAAGAATACAAACACGCATGCACATGCAAACACACACCCACCCACACAGAGCAAGTAAAGGAGTGAAGGACTTACGCAGGTAGTGTGACATGTGTGGTTCCCATGGGAACAATTTCCATGGATTTTCCCCAGAATTTATTTTTCCATCGGACATCTAAAAGGAGACTGGATGTCAATGGATGTGTGCGCTTGTGACAATGGAAATATCTTAATTTTGATCTTAAATGTTCTTTTTCTGGTCAATTCAACAAACAATAGCTTCTTCTCTATAAATCAGCTTCTTTATTCATGTGCATGGGCAGAAATGCAAACAAGGCAATGATCTGCAGTTTCTCTGACTACCAATGGCTGTTCAGTTGTTGAGTTTAAAGTGGCAGAGATAACAAATGAGGTCTCATTAGTATAAGCTACACACTAATTTCTTATAATATGTATAAAGTGCATAATCATCACACAATGGAAAATTACAGAGAGAGCACCAAGGCCACATTAAGTTCAACAAGGTTACTTAATCTTGCATAACACCAGCTTTGACCTTAAATATAACCTACACCGCGTATCAGACTCTCAGAAATAAAGGTGTGGCAGCACTAAGGCAGCCTCCAAGTAAGCCCAGCCAAACAGAGGGCGAACTGGATGTTTATTCCCGTCATGTCCTCTCCTGCTCACCTTGCCAAAAGGTGAAGTTCCTCGAATCAGAGTGACATGCTGACACAGGTGGGTGATGACTCACCTGGGAAACGGAGAGAAGAGATAGGAGATGAGATAATAATACCCATTGTAGCTCACAAAGGTGTATTAATCAATCAGTCGAACACAAAAGGTGGGAAAGGCTGCCAGCTACAGAGTATTACTACATATATTTTGAGAGTTTAGTATAATTACTGTAAACAAACCACACAATCACAGAGAAGACTGGTGGGTCAGTGTGGAACTTCTAGTGCTTGCTTTGCATACAAGAGCATGAGGGCGCTGTTCCTGCAGTGCACAATGTCCTATTTGAAATCTCTGACATGAGACCTAACCAGGGTGTGACAATTACTAAATGTAACAACTTTAACGTAAATACATATGTCTTATCTCAATCACTTCACATATTAAATTCAAAATGTGTATTTGAGCCTATCCTGAGAAGGGGTTGTATTCCCATGCGGTGAATCGTGCTGCGTGCTGTAAACTGTGTGACCTCTACCTGTTCAGCTATAAACCTGAAGCCCTTGTCGGGTCTGTCACACTCATACGTTTCTCCCAGGACAGGGTTAAATGGTTTGCTTCCTGCTCGATGGTAGGTGGAGGCATAGGCAGATATTGCAAACGTAGCAACATACACCTGTGCAGAAAATCAAAGAGGACAGATGAAAATGAAAATGAAAATCGACATAATAATAATCCAGATCAGGTGGAACAAAATGCTGAATCTGCATAACACACGGAGTTGTAATTATTAATAGTAAGTAACAATGGCACCAGCAGCATTGAGGAATGCTTACATCAGTATTTAAAGTCAACACACAACTACTGTAATAAAATTACACAATAACAATAGCGGTTGTGACATATCAGTGACACAGTTCATACAGCTCTAAAGCTGAATGAACTGTATAATGATGATGTCATTTTGCTGACAGGCAGTAAAACTATACAGCTATCTCTCGTAAGGATTGAAGACAATAAATACATAAAGCTATACCTGAGAACAGCAGACGTGTAGGATTGTTTGGTCTTGGCGGAGGTATGTCCTCTACTGAGTGCCACTCTAGTTGTTCATGTATGTGACTGTAAACATACCTGTACCTAATATTGTGAAGATAATATTGAGTGTATGCATGTATGATGCCACAATGTGTTTCAGATACTAACCGGTTTTAAATGAACCAATGTATGGACATACAGTATAAACTGTGTGTGTGTATATGTTTATACATGACAACAATTGAGGTGCATGTAAATGTGTGTTTGTGTGCAACTAAATATGATTAATACTACATGTCTGTACAGCGTGGAGTATATTCTACAGCATGTAGAAGTGTGAGACTTGTGAATGTGACATTTTTGTGTCTATATAACTACTGGGTGTCTATTTGACTATAAAAGTGTTTAAAATACTCAGGGTCTGCCAAACAGGCACAGATAGAAACAAAAAATAAAGATAATTGAGGAAGAGTGCTGAATTCACAACACATCTATCTATATTTGGCTACAGCTACTGTGATATTGATTTTTTTATTCTCTCTGTGTGCTTTTGTTCACGTGAACATCAGAGGACTTAATAAATATTTCAACTTTCTGCAAGCTAAAAATCTTCTCATTTTCTTTGGCTTATCAGAGTATGAGTCGGTGCCCGAGTGAGACTAGTTTATGCATGTGTGTAGATGTATAAATGTCTGTGTGTAGATGACATCTCAAGTTTTTAGGTAGACTTAGTACTTGTTGACAAGGCTCCACCTTGCTCTTCCAGATTTATACATGCAGTATTATCGTATCCTCTCACCATGCGTTGGTAAGGGTCTTGGGTCTGGTTGGCAGTGTCCAGCAGCTCGCTGTACTCCAGCTCCTCACACAGCCTCTGGAGGGTGTTGATTGGCTCATTGAGCTGTACTGGCATGGCCACCTTGGAAAGGTCCTTTCCGATGTTGTTCCTCAGGATGTTCCACAGGCTCACGCTGCTGGTGGGACTTGGAGACGGCAGCGTGGAGCGCCGACGAGTCAGGGTCAACACGCTGCTCACTGGAGGAGAGAAATGAGAGAGGAGCGGTGGGACAAGAGGAAGAAAATTATATTAAGAACAGTAACAAGTGAGACGGAACAGTGTGAGAGCTTCAATGTGCACATTGTCTAAAATTAAATGTTGTAAAGTCAAAAGCTGATTTGATGGAGATGAGGATATATTGTAGCTTCAGGTGGCACTTAAAGCCAGCACTAAAACTTTTTTCACCCACTGTGGAGAAGCTCTAACTATAACTTTTTCAGTGGAGAATTCTGGTGTCCCATCATTGTCATTGTCTAGATGCTCTTTGAGAGGCTTTTCATGAAAGCAAATAAGGAAATTCATGGAAAAGCTTCAAACAGTTTGACTGAATGTGTTTTTTAGGTGTTTTTTGGAAGGAAAATGGTCAAATTTAAGTAAACAAAAAATATATATATCAACACAAATGTTGGCTTTTTATCAGCTTCAGATCAGGAATACTCATTGTTCTGGCACTTGCATTCAAAAACCGATTTAATGCGTAGTCTAACAAATGTATTAACACACAAAAAAGAAGATATTAAACCACAAATGTCTTGAGATTTTCATTTACCCCCTCCTCTGCACAAGCTGGAGTCATACAATCCAAACCTGATTATCCCAATTTCTATTTGCAACTGAACGACTTCACAAAGGTATAATATGTAACTTTTAATTATTAAAATGTCTAAGAACAACTAGACCTATGCTATATATGTTTAATTTGTGTACTTTAATCAAGGTAAGCGTCCATTTTATTATTGCAATGACATCATAGCCCCTTTACACATGTGTCAGCATTGTGTTTGTCTGTCTGAATGATCAAAATTGACTTTTTTTTTTTATCTAGTTTAAACTACATTTTTACAATTTACATTTTAGGTCTTGGTCGTTTAAACTATATATTTGAACCAGGTGAAGGGTTTTAGTCATCTGGGTCTTGAGCTATCAGAAAAACATGCTGAGTGAACTTTGGCGTCAGCTTGGCTTGCACCCCTCCGAGTCCTCCTGTGTGTTGGAGAAACTGTGGATAATTCAGCTCCTGCTTAAACCCTCCTGAATGATTGAAGGAATCCTAACCGTGACAAGCTGACTCCAATGACAGTAACGGTGGTGAAGAGAACAACTCCCATAATCCCACGCTAATTCACATTGACACCAAACTCCGTCTTTTGTTGTTGTTTTGATCGAAAGACCCCTAGCGACAGAAAATCACATATTGTGCATTTAATTAAATCCCAGTTTCTTCTATTTTGTGCTACCTGGAGTTTTCTGCAGTGAAAACACAAAGCAAATACCATCTGTAGCAGTGAATTAATGATGCCTGTTCACAGATGCTTTGTCACATACTGTTAGATTAAACATTGCACCGAGTTTGTAAACATTTTCTGGAAGTTGGCCTTGGTCATGTTCAACACATATTCTGAACAAGTGGGTACATTTTCTGATTCCAGACATTTATAATTTATTTCATGCTGACACACAAAAGCACACGCAGATGCTTAGTGCACAGAGACACGCAAGTCCTGCCTCTCTTTGACAGAATAAGGTCTCTTTACACCGTCTCCTGCACACATACACAGACACGTAACTTGTTACTGTATCACGTACCAGAGTTGTGTCTCTCACTCCCTCCCTCGTTGCTGCAGGTATCCATGGAGACACTGTCACTGACATCACTGATGTACGAGTCATCGTCGGACACCTGGAGACAGGAAATCAATGGTGAAAGGTCAGCAAGCGTCCAAACATAGAATCAAAAGACAAAAACACAAACTGATAAGTCCTCAGTCACCAGAATAGAAAAACAAATGAGGCACCCGCTGTACTTGTTGCATAATTGTTACCTTCAGATATAAGTTTTGTTAAAACCAGCTCTATGTCACATGTAAGAATTTGCATCTTTCCTCTGTTTTATATAATTCTAAACTGAATACATTTGGATGTTGGGTGTTTGTTGGACAAAGCCAAACATTTAAAAAAAGGTGTCACCTTTTAGTCTGGGAAGTTGTGATAGTGATTAAAATGATTTTTCACAATTTCTCACATTTTTTAGACTCAGTCTCAGTCTATCAAAATATCACAGCATTTAGCTTTAAACGTGAAGAATGGGAAGAGGATGCGGTAAAAGATGGTGTCTGACCTCGTTCTCAGAGGAGGAAGAGGAGAGAAGGTACTCCTGAGCGTCAAAGAACTCTGATATGGACTCTGGGATAGATGCTTTGCTCTCATTAGAAACCTGGTGGACCAAGGAGTGGGAGCCGCCTGAACATTCCTGTTTAGATGATAAGAAGCCAGTTGAAAGAAATTGGGCCTGTGGTATAACGTCATTGTGGTCTAATCGTGCATAATTACATCTGAATCACAGATTCACTCACTGAGGCATAGGCAGTCTTTAAGCCCATGACCTGCACAGGCTGGGGTGCCTGCTTGTCGATGGTGTGCCTCAGTCTGTCTCTTTCTGCTACCAGAGAACTAAAGGCTGATTTCAGTGTGGTGTGGACTGGAGAGAAGAGACAGAAACAAAGAGGGCAATAACAGAGTTGTCATGGAAACCATTACACCATATAGAAACAAGAAAAAAAAGCAACATTTTCTATCTGAAATAAATAGATCTCTTGACCAATCTTGTGCTGATTTAGGCAAGGACTCACTGTTGTTGGCCAGCCTGCAGAAGTCCTCCTGAAGACGGTTCGCATCTGTAGGCGAGTCTGGGGATTCAGGACAGACTTCCTGGGCGTTGGACTCAGTGGTGGAGAGGTTGGGGTTGGAGGCATGGAGACGAGGAGACTTGGAGGAGATACAGCTTGGGACCTGCGAGAGAAATATGAAATATCAGCCATTATCTTCCCTTCATTCTCATCGTTGAATGCCAATATTCAATAATCATGAGCAACATGTACATGTACCTGTAGCGTGGCTTTGGTTTCTTTGCCACTGTTTTTGGATCGCCACCTCCTTGGCCTCTTCTCTTTTTTGGGGATGTCATAAGTAGATGCCTGTGGCACCACAAAAAAATGTATTACAGGGTAGAAAACAAAATGACTGCATTTTCATTTTGGCATCACTGTAAATAGCTTTAATAAACACAAAGAGCAAAACCATATTTTACACCAAGGCCAACTTAATCTGTGTGCTTTTGTTTACTTGTAGTGCAGTGATGGCTGGAGCCGAGTACGTGCGGTGGAGGACCTCCATGCTCTTCAGCAGCAGGTTGAGTTCGAGCAGATACGATTCACACTCCTCCAAGTCTGAGTGAAAGACGGATTATTATTAGATGAAAGTTTAGATGCATGCAGGGGAAGTGATGAGAGATAGAATAGAACATGAGAGATTCGCTGCAGCGAGACACACTTAAAGAAAAAAAAAATTGTTGACAAGCGAGGATGACAGGTGAGCCAGAGAGTGGAGCAAGAAAAGCACAAGAGAAAAAGACAAAACAGCACAGAGCGACCAACCTTTGCAGCACCTGTCCATGTCCTCTGAGGAATGGAGCCAAGAACTGACTTTAGCCTGGTGGACTGACGCCTGTTTGGTAAGAGTAGCCCTCTTTTTGAGAGAGAAAGATACAGATGAAGAAAGGTGATATCACATAACCAGATCCCTACTGCATCAAATTTAAGAGACTTTTTTTTTTTCTTACTAACAAGCACTGGAACAACTTACTTTTCTCAGAGAGTCATTGACGGAGGGAGAGGAAGAGGCATGGGGGTGGAAGAGGTGCCTCTCGTGGGGATACATGGCAATCTCATTCTGTCGAAACACGCGGTGATGACGCATCTTTGACACCCACTCCTCAAACAGCTCTGGAGACTTCACCTGGGTGCCATAAAGTCAAATTAGGAGCAGCAACTTGGAGAAAGCTGCTGTGAGTGTCTGAACATGAAACAGACACAGGAAATGAAATGGGAAAAAAAAAAACCTGTAGGTGTCGAGGCATTTGTGTATGACACAGAATCACATTGGATTCAACTAAGCTTGGCTCACATATAGTATTTCAGTGTCAAGAATTACCTTTAGGTGATAGATGTTATCCTCTGTGTCCAGATCAATGCACATGGCTTTCTTCTTGATTGACATGACTGATAGGCCAACATCTATGCAGCCGTGAAGCTTTCCCTTCTTCAGCTGTGCAAAAACACTTTGTTAGCATGTGTCTGTATGCAAGAATGACAGACAGATGGTGCTCTTGCGGTGATACTTACATCAGTTCCACGCTTTCCATACTTCAAGATGCCTTTCTCCAACAGAAAGTATCTCTGGGTGGGAAGAAATCAAACTTAATCAGCACAAGAATTGACTCCATTTTCAGTTCTTGCCACCTTTGAATCATAGATGTATTGCACTTTTTGGTTATACAATAGTTAAAAACACCAATAAAAAAGGTTTGCATATATTGTGCAGTTTTGCACCAATAACACTACTTTCCCTTGACCTTGGCATTCAAATTTTACGACAGCAGCAATGAATCGGCAGTGTGGATAATGACCATGCAGAGACATAACCACAGCTTTTAAGTACACTTTGCTCACTTTAGTTTTACAATAAAAAGGAATACACTGACAAGGCACTTTGAAGCCTCCATGTGATTTAAATGTTGCCTGTTAAAGTGGAAATTCCTTCATGTTGTAAGGCAGAAGTTTCCAGGTATGCATGAGCACACTCACAGAGAGAAGAGGGGGAGGAAGATGAGTCAGGGTTACAGTATAATCAGTAGGGAATAAAAAAGAATGGAATGAAGGAAAGACAGAGGACTATAATGGTGAAGAGGAGGAAATAGAAATAAAAAATGTAGAAATAGCTTGAGGTACTAAAAGACAGCGGGTCAGAACTCTAGTTAGACATTAAGGGAGGACTAAAAGTATTGCTGGTCCAATCTCAATACAAGCAGGAAAGAAAAAGTACAACTAAAGCCCATATACAGTATTACTCTTAAAATGTGTGTTGAACATGGTGGGGAAAAGTCTGCTTTGCTCCAGAGTTTGCTTTTGATACAAGAACCGAGACTGTAATAACAAGTGTGACCTCACGGCTTACCTTATGCCATCCCTTCATGGGCCACTTCCTCCTCTTAAGCAGGAAACCCTCCTGTCTGTCAGGCTCCTGCATGCTGGCAGGAACCCCTCTGAGCCCCTCCACAATCTCCCAGCTGTCCTGGAGGGACACACGGGAGCAACACTGTTAGAGTTAGACAGACAAGTGATATTCTTTCCCTTAAATTAAGAGGTATACTACAATCTAACTGTGTAAACAGTAAACATATCATCACAGACACCATATAGGTGCAGTACTGTTGCAAACGCAATCCTCATTACTGTAAAAACATTGTTATTATGTTAAAGTATTTCAGTATTTAAAGGGTGCAGTTTGCCTTTCTACAAACACATACATGTTTATCCACAGAGAATAACCCTTAATAATTGAATCAATTTCAACTGTTTGATCTAGACAACAAAGACACATTTACAATATTTGACCTGCTTCATTGCTTTAGGGACACTGCGGTACATGGTGCATTAAATTAAGCAAATCTGAGGTCAGATAATATTAACTAAGAGGAAAAACAAAAGCTGAAATGCTTACAGTGGCTGCAAGCAATTTTTATTCACACAGCACGCACACACACATAGATACCCGACGACACACACACCTGGTTGCTGTCATGTTTAGAGGAGCTGCTGCTGTCACTGTGAGTGGGCGACGGCGACGTCATCTTTTTGCGACTTTCTGCACACCGCTGTCTTGTTTCTGTGGAAACCGCAGTAACACAGGTCACAGTGGATCCGCCAGGAGCATCACTCTGACCTTTGAAGGCCACGCCGCAACAGTAAGCACTGCAGAGAAAGGTTAAAACAAACTGATGTCGGAGCAGCACAAAGGTTACTCTCAATTTAAATAGAAGAGTAGCAGCACGCACGAACAGACAGACAAAAACAGGGAGGAATTACTTAGTCACTGTGTCTGACTAACTGTGAACAAACCTAATTGTGGATATGAAATTCCCAAGAAAGTCCAAAGCAGCTTTGATTTACGGAAGCTAGACACAAATATCCTGAATAAAAACACATTTATCATGAGCACACACACACACACACACACACACACACACACACACACAGTTCATAAATGTTTCATAGTCAGTATTTATGACCATGGCAGTGCCATACATGTTTTATGATCAAAAGTCTATTTGTAAACAAGCATGTGGACATCGGGAATAGAGCAAAAATTCCCACTGGAACATGGAGAGCATCATACAAAACAAGACTGTCAGTGAAAAATAACAACAAAAAGTTATGACTCCACTGGCTTCTTCCATTAGCATGTGCATGTAACTACCACATAGTGTGAAACTAGTGAAAACACAATAAAAAAGGAAAAAGATTTTTAAAAATGAGGCCATAATAATAATGGAATCTTTCAGTAGTTCAGCTGGGTACAGGTGTTTTGTAGTCACATATTTGTCATATCCTCCAGTCATATATGTCCAAAACCTATTTCTAACACTAAGCAGTTCACATTTAGCACTCATTCCATTTACATACTACAAAACTGAAAAGACTGAATCCTCAACCAACCTTAATCACTGGCTGCTTTCAGCAAATTTAACTTCCTCCAGCCTCCTCCTACTGTACCAGGATTTCAGATTTGAATGTGAATTTAAAAAGGTTTCTTTCTTGAGTTTTGTCTTATGCCACTACATAATTACAGAGGTGTACTGTACATGTCTATGGTTGTATGGGGTGAGCAGTGTTATGCAACACTGATTCCTATCCTTGCCACAAATGACATGCCCCAACCTGGCTGTATGCATGTGTATGTTATCCCCCTATGTGTGTTTTATAGCCACTCCCTGTGTATGCTGGTGCTGCTGAATTCAAGTGTCGTTATGTGGGTGTGTGCAATACATGTGCGCAGGACACAACCCAGCCTGATGGTGGACTAACACACTGATGGAATGCCTGTGGTCTTTGTGTGTGCTCGCACGCATGCAAATCTGTGTAAACTTCTGGCTTTTAAGTATGCTGATAACTACATCCCCTGCAAACAGTCTGGTGGTTTTAAGTGTGTGTGCGAGTGTGTGTGTGTGTGTTCTGAAGTTCCCCAAGGCCTTGCTTACAGTCAGTACCATGCCCAGGACGTGAGTCATCAACAGGAAAGAATGTGCTCTATGCTTCGATACCCCCGACACACCATAACACACCGCTAGCTACAGTCAACACTGGGCTAAAAGCAGACTGAAACACATGGATGGCCCACTTACTTCACGGCTCTGGAGCAGGACAGGCAACGTTTCTGAGTAGGCTTCAGATGATAAACTCGGGGAGCTTGAATTAGCTCATCAAGCTGTTGTTTTTTTTGTTTTTTTTTTGTACTTTACAGGCTGGCGTCTTCTGCTTCATGAAGCTTTATGGAATTCATCACACATAACTCCTGCATAGTTATGTCTGTGTTAATACATCTGTGCATAGTGTGGACTTAAAACAACAAAAGGTGCATCCAGCCATAAAACATTAGGTATCGGCATGTTGTAGGAGATCAGGGCCGTGACGGCTAATTTCCAGCTCTAAATGAATTCTTTAAAGAATACAACCATTATTATATACACACAATAAGTGGTGAGTGAGGGCAGCAGCTTTACATAACATTGTCAGCCCTGCCTTCTATTCATCAGCCATTTTTCCCTCTGATACAACTCAGCAGCAAAGCTTGCAACAACACACTTCCTTAGAGCAAAACCTCAAAAATAATCAGAGCACATTTGCAAAAAAAAAAAAGTGTTTGAAGTGTCACTACCCTAGACACCTCCTCACCTCACTAGCTTAAAAACTTGCAATTGTGTGTATTGGTGTATAAATCTCTCTGCCACAGATGCATTGTAGGATCTGTAAATGAAACTGGGAGATGTGAATCCCCGAACATCCCACTGAGTGCCCTACTTACCTCGACTGAGTGATTACTGTAGTATTGTACACCACTGAGAGCTCCTGCACTGTAAGACTAGAAGTGCTGGGGTTTTGCCTTCGGTGTTACGTAATAGGAGTCAATCATTAATGGCACAACACCTTGTAAATGATCTGTTAAGATGGAAAGGGGTCATTCTCACAGCAAGGGTCGATGGTGCAGAGTCACAAGGCCCAATGAGGAAATAAAAGGTTTAAAGGTGATGGAAATGTGACTACTTTGTGTGCGTTTCTTTTCTTTTTTTTTTTTTTGTCTTTTCATGTGTCAGCATGCATGAAATCAGCTGATGGGAGGGAGGAAGAGATAAAACGGATGCAAATGGAAGAGGGATTGGTTTTATCTGGATGTATGACAGTGTGATGACAGTGGGTCTTTCATGGGAGACCAGAGGGTAACATTTTGCCTAACATAGGTGCTGAGCGGTCTACCAACCAACCGATGCAAAGTGAATTAATCTAACTTGGGTATGTTTTTCTTTCATTCCACCCAGAATATTTTCTCTTTCACTGCACTGAAGAGACTGGGAAACAGACCTTTTCTTCCACTTGCTCCATTCCTAGCAACCACTGAAGTGCCAAGCCTCCTGAAAAGGCCTGCCACACTCACCACTTGCGCTCTCTCAAAGCTTTGCTGCAACAAGCTGTGCACAGACACACTGTAAATACACTAAAAGGCTCAGGAATGCCGCTTTTAAAAAGGCATACTTCAACAAAAACTTAAACAACACTCAAAAGCCATTAAGTCCACCTTTACATGCTTTCTTCAGTTGAGCATGACTACAGGCAACACATACTGTTCGTATTTACAGAAAGCCCTGTGGCTTACAAAAAGCAAAGCCTCGTCTGTTGTTCTCCAGTTTCCATGACAGGATCTCAATGCAGTGAGGCTGAAGCCTGAGGAATAGTCAGGCTGGAGTTTCCAGTCCTGGCATCACAAACACACAGACGTTGACTTAGCAGCCAGTCCATCTGCTTTCTGCCTATACGCATTCTTGCAGCAGCAGGACTGCCATCAACCTGATTGTCTGCATAGCTGTATATCCTCCCCATTACTGGCTGACTGGGACTGCAAAAAGGTCCACGCAGATGGCCCATCTGTGACTCTACCTCCAATAAAGCGCCAGAGTCTTCCGGTAAAGCTCCTTCACAGATTTATGGAGTTAAGGCTGTGCATGATCCACTGATTATCAAACCGAGAGCCAGCATAAGCTACTTTAAATAGACTCACATCCGGCAATATTATCTGGCTACTTCATGCATCAACACTGAAATCTTATAACAAAATAGTGTGATGGATGTGTGGCAGCATATGGTTTTGGATTGGTTAGTGGCACTAGCACTCAGCTTATCTGACCTATGACATTATCTCTGACAGAGTGTAGCAGCTGATAGCGGTGGCTTGTTTGAAGATATTTTTAACAGCATTTTTCATCTGAAAGCAATACAGTGCAAGTCTTTCCTGTATGCAGGCAGAGAAAAACTAATGTGGATATCAGCAAGTGATCAAAGATGTAACAAGCAGCCTCAATGTGCCATTCAGCCATCAGTTATTTTCACATGCACTCAAAAGACAGACACAGAGAGTAGAGGCTTGAGAATCAGCATGTCCATAGATTTCTGACCAATGCATTGTTTAAAAGCTGCATCAAAAAGACAAAAGATTTCTTTCTGTCTCTTTCCTGCTGAGACAAGGGACACTTTGTAGTACCGCTCAATCACAGGTTGCTATGGATACAAAAAAAACCAAAGGCGAGAATATATTCACTTTGTTTATTCTTTATGGAAAATCTGAGGGCATAAAACATGGGGCTATTTATAGAACCTGCGCTGTTACCAGCAGAAACATGATTTCACATGAGTCTCAGTGCCGACCAGCGAGCTTGGCTGGAAGTAGGCCACAACATCCCATTACCTTAAAAACCATAGGAGATCACAGGCATGCTGTTCTCAGAGTGGCCACTTGGAATATTAGTCAAAGTAGGAGTGCTCGGTATTTACCAGCTTTTAAGTGGGTGTTGTGTAAAGGAGAGAGTGACATAGAGATAACTCAGTGAGTCATGTCGGCCACGCTGGATGTTTATGACCAGAAATATTGCAGCAAGAAGAAACAATTTGGCTTGATAGTGATCAGTTGGTTGATAGACTTGAAAATTGATGCCTTCAGCAAAATCCTCTTTTGCTTTGGATCACTAGAGTGGAAGGGGAGCAGATTTGAACAGTGCCCCCTGGAGCTTGTATTGACTAAGTCTCAATGTCTTGCTCAAGGACACTTCAACTGGGCAGAAGGATGCCAACATATATGTTTGAACCCACACAGCTGAGCTGCTGGATAGTTTCCTCTTACTACTGCTCTGCCTACTTCTGCAGCTTAATTTTGTTTTCATTATTGATGGGTGTTACAATTATTTTCTTGATTAATCAATTAACCATTTGGGCTAGAAAAGTCAGAAATATCTCAAATTCCCAAAGCCCAAGGTAACATCTGTAAAAGTTTAATTTTGTCCGACCACTAGTCCAAAATCCAGAGATACTGTACTCTGTTTGATATCATATAAAACAGAGAAAAGAAACAAATCCTCATAATGGAGAAACTGGAATCAAAGAATTACGGTACGTAAACAAGTCATTGTTTTGCATATTAAAATTGTTGCAGATTTTTTTCTCTCAGTCATTATATACACTAAATAGGAAATTGTTTAAGTATTAACCATGCCACTGTCAAAAACTTCAGGGTTACAGTTTTGTTTATACCAGCCTGAGCACTGGGCTGGCAATGTGTGCCCACAGGCAATCATGTGAGTGTGAATGGCACAGTGATAGTGTTGCCATTACCACTCATGCATAAACCAAACTCATCCTGTCTGGACTAAGAGGTGTTAAAGCCAAGTATTGATTTACAGTGTAATAAAAGCAAAATCACTCAAGAACCACATCACTGAGGTGAAAGAAAGCACTGACCGGCTCATGATATTTCATTAATTAATGGTGTGCGGGGCTGTAACCAACAACTGTTTTAATTATTGATTAATCGGCCAATTATTTTCTTGATTTATGTTAATTTAACTATGTGCTGTATACAAGAAGAAGAAGAATAGTTTGATTGTGCTGGGGATGATGTTAGCACAGCAACCAGATAGGTCGCTGATTGTCATTAATGGGGACAAACTTCAAGGCGAGAAAACACAGGTGTCCCGTTTAACTGCACAGCCCTGCTCAATTCCTGTTGCCAACACAGCAATCAAAACTTGTCTGCGCAGACAAAATGTCCAATAAAAACCATGTGGTCGTAAACTCGGCGCTCACACAGCCTCAATAGGAGCCCAAAAACATCACAGGGACCCTTTACAAGGAGACTCACATACTAATTCAGCACTAAATGTCAGGAGGAAGTCCATTAGTAATTCTGTCGAGAGCGATATCAGACTTCAGCGCTGAAACGTCCAGCAACAGACACGACAGCAGCGCTGTCAACTCTGCCGCTTGATTCAAACAGAAGCGAGACACCAACAGCAGAAACACAGATATAAACCCAAATTAGTTATGAGTATTAAGGTAAAGAAATACTTACGGTTCTGTGGCGAAAGCTACAGCATCCTATCCTAGTAGTAAGGACATACAGTAACCTGGCTTGAGGTTTCAGCTCCTCGCTTCAATGCCCGAGCGTTGTGGTAGGGGAGGGGCTTCTTTAGTGGGCAGGAGTGACTGGCGCTCCTCATAGCCAATCACAATCGAGGTTATAGCAAAGGGGCGGGAACAGAAAGTAGGGCGGACCCGTTTTTGAACGGACCATAGAGTGACGTCGACAAAAATGTCAAAGGAAAAAAAAAAACAAGGTGAGGGTTAGCGTCAGACAATGGAGCGTCAGGTAAGTTCCAGTTGCTAACTGACGTAAAGTCATGTGAATACCGGTAAATACACATTCATCATGTCACTATTTGCTAATGTATCATTGTATTTTAAAGATATTACATTCAATTTCATGAATGTTTTACATTATCTCACGTCCGTCCTGCCTTGTAACCCAAACTAACTACATGATGACCATCAGGCTACACATACTTGTGTAGGCCTACTACATAGCCTGAAACTAGCTTTTAGAGAACAGCTTAGGCAGTTTCAGAGGTCACAGAAACTCATACACCATCCATCATCATGTAACAAGCTCTAAGCTCCAGAAAGTGGGCCTTCAACAAAGTAAGGACGCAACTAACTAACTTTTTTATTACTGAGTTGTTTGCCACTTATTTTATTGATTAATCATGAAAACTTAAATATGCAGTTTATTATCAAGGAAAAGCAGCTCATTTGTAGCTGAAACTAGGAAATGTTTGGTATTTCTGCACGAATTGATTGTCAATATAGTTGCCAACTATTTAGAAATTAATTTGATTAATCCATGTATTGCTTCAGCTCTGCAACAAATTACTTTAACATTATTACCACTTATGGGTCATAAGAAGTAGCACTTTGTTCATATACAGTGTAAAAGCCAGTAGGTGTGGAGAAACAGTCTTAATAATCTCTCTGGTCTCATTGCTTCATAACATGATGCACAATCCAATGACAGATTGTTTGATGCTTTTCCACAGACATTCTGGTTGCAAAAGATGGCTCTAGCCACAAGTGCTGACTGTTTTCTGAAACGATGAGTAAGTGAGAGAAGTTGTGTGATTGCACCCAGGCGGAGTGAGCGTGTGGGTGACTTATGAGCATGTGTTTGTGTGCTTCTACTTAATGTCCATCTTTCCTTGATGAAGTTATGCGCCTCATGTTTTTCTTTGGAGAAAGCCCTGCTCAGTCCGTCCACCTCTATTGTCCTTGTAGCGCTCTAAACCACCTTCATGCTTTGGATTTGTTTACCCAACAAAACAAATTTCTTCCTTTGCATAGGCACGACTTTGTCACTTCCTGCCTGGGCTTATTTCTATGGCAACAGAGGGAAGGGAAAACATAAAAAGGGAGAAAAAAATGTCTTTGAAAGGGAGAGGCAGAGCTGGGTGTGTCCAGAAACTTAGAGCCGACAAAACTAATGGTAGTGTTTGGACTTTAAAGGAATGCGTCTCTGCGTGAGGACTGACTGAGGGAAACTGAATGTTGATTGCTGACATGATGTGGTGTGATGTTAGAGATAGAACAGACAGGAAACATTTTTAGATATTGCTATCAGTGTTTGTATCACAGATCTTTTCATTGTCCAACCCAGGTGGATTCCCCTGCACTTACCTAAACAGTGCAAAACTGTAGCCGAAGGGAACACACCCATGCATACCTGACAACAGAGCCACACACTCTAAAACAGGCTTGTCTACAGATACAGTGAGGTGGTAATCATGGAAACACACCTGGGATACACTGATGCTTTGGACTTTCAAGGATTTTCAACTAATAGCACAATTTAAATCTTATTTTAGAAAGAGAATACTGAAGAAGACAGAGTGAGACATACAGACATAAATAAGATAGTGTAGACAGACATAAATAAGAAAATGTAGTAAAGGGTGATACATATGCTTTCAAGTCTGAGTATGCCAGTGTAGCTATTTATATCACCTATCACCTCCCTGCCACTCACAGTACACACACTGACACAAACACACATCTTTTGGGAGCAGATTGTGTATGACAGTGTCATCTATAGGTTACCTATGGTTACTGCACACTGAACAGCTTGTATTCAGGCTGCAAACTGAAAGAGCCTTGCTGCCAGTTGTCAGCCAGATGATGTGGACTTTTGTTTAACAAAGAGGAACATGAAGAACATGAATAGCAGTTAGGGTGTTTAAATTGTTTTGCACAGCATCCCAAGGTCTTGAATTTACTTGGCTACATGCACTGTGAAATTTCACTTCTAACTGTAAGGAGGGGATAATAAAGAGAGACAAGACCCTTCTACTAGAAGACCTCTTAGTGTCCTTCTTGGTCTTAGAAATTGAGGTGCCCCTGAGCAAGACACTGACAGAGTCTCTGTTTTGTTGCTGAACCTGATCCTGGGTTAGATTAACCCACTAAGGTGCGTCCCAATCTCCAAGTAGTATATAGCCTATGTATTCAATGTTAAGCAATTTGTGGTAATTCATCTGGATTATTTTTATTTCATTTTATTTAGAGGAATGCACCATGTAAGCACATTATATGCTGAAATAACAAAGGCTTTAAAATAATATTTTAATTTGGGGCCCTGCAACAAGATGGGACCTCAAGATAAGTTATTAATAATATCATAAATTAGTGGCACGTAGATTATTAAAGAAATCTACAGCCATGCTAGCGCCTCTGTGAGGCTGTACTCAGGCATAAGCACTTTCAGCTAAATGCTGGTACAGCATAATGTTTCTTAGCATGCTAACAGTTGTTAATTAGCTCAAAACACAAAGTGCAGCTGAGGCTGATCGCAATATCCTTAGTTTTGGGAAAACTGAAATTTTGATCTGATGCATTTCACTCCTAATTAATTACGCCAACCTGCTGGTGGCGCTAGAGGAAAAGTCAGGTTTTCCTCTGGTCATCATGAATGTCTGGACAGGATTTCATTTCAATCCATCCAATAGTTGTTCAGATATTTCAGAATGGAGCAAAGTGATAGACTGAGTGGCTTGCCATCCATTGAATTTGCTTTCAATTAAATCACCACAAACTAATTGCCTCTCCGTGAGGAAGGGGTCAAGCAAAAGTAAAGTTACTCAGAACCGATCAGCACTCAGTTACAAAATTACTGTGCTGTTGCTTCCATATGCTGTAATATTCCATGTCTGTAGAGGGCGACGTTATACAAAAGCAAAGCAGTGTGGGGACTCTGAGTTGACAGCTGCAGATCAGATGTCTCAGCTCTCTAAATTACTGAGTGACGACTTTGTCTTAATGACTCATAAAGCCCACATCTTTTGTACTCTTGTTTGTGACTTGTTTTGCATTGTGTTAGACTGAGAGATCCTAATCAGGAGTTCATGTGCACATGTGCATTTTTGTGCTTGCTTTCATGTTTTTGTGTGCACTCGTGCAGCCCTGCACAGCCTATCACACTTTTCAGGGTGTTTGAGTTCCCGAGAATGAGTGTTATCTTCTGTGCCGCTCAGTGATCTTAAGATCTGAAGGCATTATGTTCTTTCAGTGTCATTATGTGATTGAGGATGATTATGTGCATGCAGACAGTTTCTATCAGACTTCGTAGATCAAAGGGTTGCCCTCCCAGTACACACACACACACACACACACACACACACACACACACACACACACACACTATCCTTTACACTACCCTCCTTATTCCTCTATCTCCCCCTCCAGTCTCTCCACCCTTTCAACAGGGCAATAGCATACTCTGTAATTTTTTCCAGATGTCGAGTACCTCCCTTCCTCTTTTCCTTGCTCTATTCCCTCCATTCTTAACTCTCACAGGGTCGACTGAAACCCTGAAAGTTCTCCTTTCCTCTCTCACCCTCTCTCTCCTCCTCTTCTGTCCGCTCCTAACCCACCCCCCGGCTTGTTCAACATTTTGGTCTCAAAGACAAAACGTGACCCCTGGAGGTCAGGCAAGAGAGGCTGCAGCTCTCCCAAAGCAGAAAGGAATGTTGTGCAAATGCATTTCCCACATTGCATGATGGCCTGTTGCAATCAGCCGTTTTGGTCCATGGTGCATTTCCAGAGTGCCAGCTGTTTATGACGTGCTCTTTTGATCTGATTTTGATGTGACTGTTATTATTTTTTATGCACAGTGATTTGTAGAGAACTGTCTTTCAGTTGCTGTAACTAGGACTCTGTCCCCTCCACTCATTCGCTCCATCTTGCCCTCCTTTTCTCCCTCCAGAGATGGGAACCAGCTGGGGGGAGTTGAGCAGGGGAGCTTTGGGAATGTGGAGGGTTGCAGGCATGGGGCCCAGGTGTTCCCTCCACTCTCTTTCTCTCATTCATATACATTTAGGTACACCTAAAATGTGGCTGCATCTTCTGTCTAACAGAGAGTCTTCAGTCTCAAGGCATGTCAGTGCAGTTGCAGACACGTGTTGCAGAGAGGGGATGGAGTCTCTTTCACCATCTCCCTCTAAGTGCATAAACACACTCACTCATCCACTCACAAACATACAGGCACACACACACCATTAATGTCTGTGAGCATGGACTAGAGCTATGATTCCCAACTCTAGCTAAAGCACTTAATGATCTTAGCAGCTGTTGCTCATGTAAACTCTCCCCACACACACAAAGATACTCACATACACACACAATCCCACCTCCTCATTCCATCTTTCGTGCCTTTTGCTTTGTCTTCCCGCCCTTATCCCTGCATACTGATTAATTAAAGGCCCTAAAGAATACATCAAGTTATAGTTCACACATATACAAATATAAAGTACTTCTACACATGGTCATAATACGCACATCCGCAAGTACATATTTTCACAAATGGACCCACACATGCTTTTTAACCCGGCCACACACATGGACAATGTGTTATTTGTTTGAACTATTTCCTATTGATTAGAGAACTGTAGGAGGGCTAATCTGAACAAAGCTGCTGTTCATCTTCATTCATTGCAGGCCATCCATTACACTGATTACTATGATAAGCCCCTGATATGTGCTAGTTTCATGCAGTGTTATGTTACCAGGACATGTCCCATACGGATTGTCTCTGTGATGCATGTTAGGCCCGCAGGGAATAAGTGAGCTGCAGAGATCTCTGCATTCTGCGGTACAATAGGATGCACATGTTTCCACTAGCACAACTTCCTGCAAGTTTGTGACTGTGTGTGTGAGGCTCATTAGTTCCTACACTGTGAGTCCTGCTTTGTTTCTTTATTGGTGAATTTTTGTGTGTCTGTATGTGTGGTATACATGATAAATGATCACTTCAAGTGTTTCACCCCCTGTGTCCTCTGTGCTTTTGTAGTCCTATGTGTAATTGTGTGCATGTTTGTGTATGTGCTAAACCCATGTTTGTGTGCATTATCTGTCATGTCATGCTAAATCACAGCATTCCAGCCATGGCTGTATGCTTTTAAATGTATTTATTTCAGTGAAGATCTGGATTAAGCAAGAGCTGCTGCACGCCACGAATAAGTAGGCTACATATCTCAAAATCTCAAACCTTTCCTTTAAGAAGCAGTACCTCAGTACAAAATTGCTAAATTCAAAGTTTAGGTCTGGCATTCAGAAAGTGTCACAAATAAAATGTAGCTTATAGTAATAATATTCACAGAATATTTCATCATTAATGCACTAATCTAATCAGCATTTTTTACATCGTATGGTTCCATGTGTTTAAACTGGTCCATGCTTGTTTCAACTTCAAAGCAACATCAGTATGACTGTAACTGCTCTAAATCATCAAATAAATTCATTCATTCATCCACTCATGCATCAAGTTCCACTTACTCACTTGTTTTGGAGCTTTTGACTAAGTCACATTGTCATCATCAGCAGATGAAGTTTGTCATTTGGCATGTGGTGAGTCTGAAATTGCTATATATCACTATATTAACCTTCCACCATTTAATTTGAGTGTCCGAATTCTGAGTATTTAAATGTATCTACTATGTAGAGCCCTCAAAAATTTCACAATTTTCACTATTGCACACTGGAAAAAAGAATGTACAGTTCATGGCGCGTGCACAGCTTTCTGCTCCCACAATGCAATGCTCCACGTTTTATTCAATGCGAAAAATACAGAAGCACCCGGAGTAAAAGACACAATATCTTGTAGATATTAGTAGTAGAGTAAAAATATAAATAGTTACAAAATGTAAATACTAAATTACTATGGAAAGTAAATGTATTTAGTTACTTTCTACCTCCTCTAAGGATACATTTAATGGAATATAAACCTGGTTCTATAGCCTCACCAGACACTGTTGTTTCAACACCTGAAGACTGCAGGAGAAAACTAACACTCCAAGACATCAGCTCATTTACATGTACACACACAAACTCACCTGCACTCGCTCTGGATATTCTTTATTTCATGTAGACATACTTATTAGCACACACACAGACATTTGTCAGTCCCAAGGAACAGGCACATTCAGGTGGAGACAGATATACAATCCCTTCTCTCTCTCTCTCTCTCCCTCTCGCTCAGTTTCTCTCTCTCTCCCTTCCCCTGATGGAATTACGTTTCCCACATACACACTCTCTCTCTCTGCTGAGAGACTGAAATGTCATATGGCCGGCTGGTTGGACAGTGAGAGGCCCGCTGAGAGGAGAGAGAGGTGATGAAAGGATGGGTCTGCAGCCTTTGTTGTGTTCAGGCACAGTGGCAGACAGCTCTTTGCGGGGTCCTCAATGCTGCCTATTGTGCCAAAGTCTATGTGAATCTGGGTCAAGTCCAGATCACTTTTCCTGCACAACAATCTCTGTCAACATCAGTTTAACATTGCACTCTCTCCCCCAGCTCCTCTGATCCCCGGCTCTCACTTTCCTCACACTGTTTTCTCTTTTCTTACCCTGTTTTCCATGTTTCATTCTATCTGTCCATCTCATTTCCACACTGCACTCTCTCGGGAATGGCTCCTTCACCCTTATCCTCCCCTAAATGTTAGTACATTAAAGTTAATCTCAAGTTATTTGTGATGCTACAGTGAAAGCGAATCCACGCTGATGAAATCTTTTGTGTATTCTTTTCATCTCTGACACAGACCAGGCGACTGCCATAAAACAACTGGATTGGTCCCACTGTGTCTGAGGCCAGATCTCTGAGTGTTTTCTCAATGTGTGTGTTCCTCAGAGAGCAGGAAAGAGAGACTAGAAAGACGGGGGGGGGGGGCGGCAGAGATTCAGAAATACTATAGAGAAATGGCCAGACAGGAAATGACCTCCCAGAGAGAGGGGGCTTCCCCAAGGGTTGTTATTTCTCTCTGTCTTTTTTTCTCTCACACACAGACACCCGCTCACACACCACCACAGCTATAATGGCTGACTATGATGTCTCCAAGTAGATATGCATGAGAATGAGGCCAATCCGGGAGTGCTGTGAATGCAATGAGCTACAGCAGCGGTGCATTAGCTGGGCTCTGGAAACCATTGTATCACTTGAATCTCAAGGGTGGTTGAAAAAGCACACGTGAAGTTTGAATGTGTGCTCGTGCATGAGTGTGTGACTTTGTGTACTTGAGTGAATCATGACTGCATACTCTTCCCATGGTTGACATATCTCTATTCATCAACATTGACATCACCCGTTGCAATTGAGAGTGTATAAACATGCTAACAGCATCTATCTCTATAGTTCAAAATGATGAGAAACATGACAGTGAAGGCTGTGGAGGTACATGACACGGGAAGGGTTAGGAGCCATTCATTTAAGCTGTGTGTGTGCTATGTCAGTGGGTAAGCACTCTGCCTCCTGTGCTATAAATGTGCAGATGTCTTGGCAGTAACGTTGCATGCTTTTTACACTGCACTGGAACAGGAACCGTCATGTACACTGCAGAGCATCGTTCTCCAGTCTGCACAGTTCTGCACTCGGTCTTCACATGCTCCACTCACCCTGCGTTTATTTCCCCTCTTTTAAGTTGGAGATCTTTAACTCGGATTTTGGCACCTCTCCTCCTCAGTCTTAACACACACTTGACGACCCGAATTCCTCATCCTCTAAATGTGAACCATCTGTGCTCCTGAAGGCCCCAGCGACACAGGGCGCGTTAATGAGAGAATGGTGAATTGTAGTTAAGCTGCATAATGATGGTGTTCCTACTGTACAGACTACATGATGATGTGTTGATTGTTGCTTTACTTACTCACTTTGTGTATGCAGTGTCTGCACTGGGCAGACTGAATGTCCTCTGGGTCTTATAGCTGTTTACCAAACAGCTCTTTAATGAATCGTTTTTCATACATCATCAAAAGCATTGACAATCTGAATGTAAGATTTCTTAAACTTGTTTTATGAGTGACTGGTTAGCTCCGCGTGCACCCTCCTGCCAGGGAATCCAAAACTTTGGGCTTCTCTTGGGATTCCGTGGGAAGGAAATCTTCCTGTCTGCTTTGTCCATACCAGGGATCCGATCCAGATCTCAGACCCCCGGTGGCTGCGGGGGCGCGCAGAAAACTCGGTCAAAGGGTTTCTCAATCTCTCTCGCCCTCCCTCTCTCACTGCAGACTCGTGTGTGTGTGTGTGTTTGATTACCTGCGTGCACGCGCAAAACTCTGGATCTCGTGCGTCAAGACTTGTGCACATCTGGTTTTGGCAGGGTCGCAGAGTTGCGGAGGAGGGACTACTTCACTGTGTGTGTGTGTGTGTGTGTGTGTGTGTGTATGTGTGTGTGTGTGTGTGTGTGTGTGTGTGTATGTGTGTGTGTGTGTGTGTGTGTGTGTGTGTGAGAGAGCACACTCTGCGCCTGAACTCTACTTTTTTTTTGCGGAACTCTGTAATTCGCAGCAGATGACCACTTGGGGGGATGGAGGTTTTACTGGGGAGGTGAGCGTTTCCTCAGACAGCATCAGAGCGGCACTGCACAAATTAATTTGCTCTATACAAGATGCTACTCAATGATGTCGCCGCGTGCTTGATCAATACAGCATTTTTCTCTCCACCTTTCGCAGCAACAAGTGGATTATGGTCTCCGGCGTGAGTGAGGAGAGGGGCGACTGCACCTGAACAACACAAAGCGAATGCGGCGTCAGTCTCTGGCTGTGCCAGCCGCGCTGTGGGAATGGATACCTTCAATTTCCTGGCAGGACTATGTTTTTTCCTGCTGTCGCTCAATGGGTTCATCTCTTCCTCGCCGGCGACAAGCTTTTGTCCCGACCGCTGCGACTGTCAGCACCCGCAGCACCTAATGTGCACCAACCGCGGGTTGCGCACTTTGCCCAAACCCGCCATGCGGGTGCCCGAGGAGGTGCTGATCTTCAGCCTCGGGGGTAACTTCATCAGTAACATCTCTGCCTTCGACTTCACACGGTACAGTGGCCTTGTAAGGTTAAATTTACAGTACAATCAGATACACACTATTCACCCCAAGGCATTTGAGAAACTTTCCAAGCTAGAAGAGCTCTACTTGGGACATAATCTTTTATCAAATGTACCTACTGGGACTTTACAGCCCCTGAAGAAATTAACTATTCTCTATGGCAATAATAATAACATTAAGAAAATCACACCGGAGCTCTTTGCCAACCTGGATAATCTCGTTAAACTGCGCCTAGATGGCAACTCAATAGAAGTTCTGCAGGACTCTGTTTTTAAAAGTTTGACCAGTCTACATTATCTCCATCTGGAATCCAACCAACTGCAGCATATTCACAGAAACGCTTTTTCTAAACTCGCCAACCTGCGCTTTCTAAACCTGGCCCACAACAAGCAGTCAGCCGTGCGCAATGTCCTCACTTTTTCCCAACTCAAAGCTTTGACAACTTTGCTGCTGTCTGAAAATGAAATTCAATACATTGGGAACCACGTCTTCCAAAATCTGAAAAAGTTGTCCAAACTGTCCCTGAGCAACAACAGAATCTCTCGTCTTGACAGCGGGGTTCTGAAGGGGCTGTCGAGCCTCAGAGAGCTCCTGATTGACGGCAACGGACTGGAGGAAATCCCCGCTGGTCTCCTCGACCCTCTGCAGCGCATCGAGGAGCTCGACTTCAGCCGCAACCGGATTTCCAACGTGGACTCTTTGGCTTTTTCGCAACTTAAACATCTAAAGGTGCTGAGGCTGAAGAACAACTTTCTCACCAGCCTGTCTGGCGACATTTTTGCCCTCAACAACGTGCTTTACGACCTGGATCTCCATGGCAACAACTGGACGTGCGACTGTCGCCTGGAGGAGCTGAAGAGATGGATGACTGCTGCACATTCTCAGGGCAAATTGTTGACTGTTTTTGTGCAATGTCATCACCCTGCAACTCTGAGGGGAAAATATCTGGACTATGTGAACAGCTCCCAGCTGCAGCCCCTTGGGAACTGGACCCACTTGTGTAGTAGCCAAGCTGGGCCTGAGGAGAGCCGGGGAGGGGGTGTACTGGTAAAAGTGGAGGGGAAAGAGATAACGGATGCAATAAAGCTGGGGGAGAGCATTGGAGAAGGCCAGGGGGAAGAGACACAAACTGTAAATTTAAGGCAGGGAAACATGGATGATGTCATGGTGAGGAAAGAGGCAGAAAAATGGAAAAGAGAGGGACAGGAAGATGTGGGAATCCAGGGGGACGAGGGGGGTCCAGAGGTGGGAGATCCTTCTTCCTCACTGGAAAGAAAGAAACCAAAGAAGGAGTCGCTCAGTCCAAGGTCACGGCCTGCCGTAGAGGCAGCTGGGAAACGTGCCAAAGGGAGACGGAGGTCGAATGTAATTTCTAGAACGGATCCACCAGTCATTTCCACACCAAGTCACAGAAACTCCACTGATTCAAACACAGAGCTCACCGCAACTCCTTCTGCGCAGTCAGGAGAAAAGTTTGATCTTCTGACGTCAGATCAGGAGGAGGCCTTACCTGTAATCACAGATCCATGCGTGTTCAACCGCCATTTCATCACCAATGTTTCAGTGGATCAAGTGACATCTAGTACTGTCACCGTCTACTGGACTACAAGGGATCATCACCGCTACACACCAGGACCTGGGCCAGGCCTGGATGAAGTCCACTACCGGATTCTGTTTGACCGGTTTGGGGCTCCAGAGCGTTTCCCCCGTTATGTTTATGCCCGCGGTACAGCTCGCTCTGTAACCCTTCGAGAACTCAGCTCAGACTTAACCTACATCGTCTGCGTGGAGGGAGTAGTTGGAGGATCTGTTTGCCAAGTCGCCCCTCGTGACCACTGCGCAGGACTGATCACGCTCCCCGAGGTGTTCAGTCGTGGGGGCACGCTGACCTCTGACCTCCAGCTGGTGACGGTGGCGACACTGGCCGGGAACGCTGTGCTGCTGCTCGTCATTGGTGGAGTCTGGCTGGGGCGGAGCTTGAAGAGGAGGTTGCAGAGGAGGAAGTCGGCCGTGCACGTGCGCCACATGTACTCCACCAGGCGGCCTTTTCGTCCCAATGTGGCGACGGCCTCCGTGTCCACTGACTTCACCAGCTACCAGAGCAGTCGTCCAGCACGACTTGCACCGCTCGAGGAGGGGGATCTCATAGAGTTCCCCTGTGACCGCTTTCTGGACAGCAGTGCTCGCAGAGACAGTGACATGCAGAGATTCTCTGACTAGGACAATAAAATGTCTGAAAATGTTGACACTGTGCAACAGAACAGTATGTGAATTGGTTTGTGCTGCAACCTTTAGTCATGCCTTTAGAGTACAGAAAGTCCTCTCAGTTGACACAGTGCAGTATCGCATTAAAAACATTGGTGTGTTTGTGGCTATGAACAAACCAAGTCAACAGTCCCACAATTTTGAGCTCGGTTTTTTCATTTGAACCACAAGAAAACTGTTTAAGTGACAACAGAACAGCTGAGCTCATCGGGGCCTTTTCGGAAACCAGAGGAAGTCCAATCCCTCTGACTTCCTCTTCCTGCTTTGTGTTCTTCCTTCTTTCATTTCCGCGCACCTGTGAGTGTTTCTAAATGTGTGATTTGTTGTGAGCGCAAGTGTGTACGCATGAATGATGGACCACTGATTTCAACTATGGTGCTAATATTGAGTTCACAGACATCATATTGTCTCATATTTGTACAGTATGTAATGATGGCTGCTGGTTGGCAGGAAAACACTTGTTTTGTATCACATCTATCATGTTTTATACTTTTATATGGAACTTTGTATCATTTTGCATTACATGAAGTAAAATCCCCAACAATGTGATTGATTTGTCATTTGAGTGTCTATATATATATCTGTGGCTCAAATATCTTTTACGCAATCCACTGATTACGGAAAGCACCAGGGGATTATGATTCTAGGAATAGGGGAATATATAGAGTACTCTCTATATATTTGTATATAAAAATACATACACAAGGATTATTTGTATTAACCTATTGAACCCCAGGTTGTATTTTTGCTCCCTTTATTTTTGCTGTTATAATACAGTCATTATATGCCTCAGCCAAGCAGGCAAGATATTTTCAGCATATTAATACTGGCTATAGTATTAGTTATTCCTCTGCAACTGATATTTAGTGCTTTAGAGGGAGACCTAAACAGTTTGTGAGTGTGGGGAAGATAATAGCGTATGTATGTTAGAGAAGTAAGTGTGTGTGTGCATGTGCATCCATGCTTTCGTATGCGTGTCAGAATGGGATCTGGCAATAGTTAAGCAGTCTCTTTGTTTGGGTAGACAGGGTGGAGTGCCTCCCACACTTAGTTCAAATCACGTTACACACTCTCACAAGCACGCATGCACACACTCATGCGTGCACACATGCAGCAAAAAAATTTTCATATCATCAGAGAGTCAAGATCTCATTATCATCATAGCAGTTTTAACATCAAGGTGTCGAAAGTAATATTCTTCACCACAGCTGGTTATTTATGAAAATGACGTTCTGCAGTTTGGGACACTTTCTTTTCCTCATGATGAATACAGTCAAATTCAACTTTTAAATGAATAAGGAAAAGCCCATTTCAGCTGCTTCTTTGTGTGTTTTATATTGAGAAATAATATTATTGGCCAAGCATCAAACACGGTGTGATCTGCTTTGCTGACCACGATAGCTGGAGTTGAGTTATCGTCAACCACCACTAACAAAACCAGTCACTAGATGGCAGACTAGACCATACTGTATGTACAGAATCACACTGATAATCTCATGGCTCACAGCTGCTGGTTTACTGTGTCCACACAATTTCTGAGAGATTCTATATCATAAAGATTTCACAAGAAAATACCAGAATAAGTGTTTTTATTTTAGCATTAGATTTACAGCGATTGTCAACATCTTTACAGTACAAAAAGTGTAATTTAAGTGTAAATTAAATTAATCTGACATGGATTGAGACATGAGGTGCAGTTTATAGTTATTTAGTGTTTTAGGGCAGTTGTGTGTAATAAAAAAAAAAGGAGGCCAGAAATGAAAACCTGTACAATCATGTTTAAATGGCTTTCTGAGACAGAGTTTGACAGGGTTTGACTTCAAATCTTAAAATAAACGTTTTTGTCTTTAATTGTGTGTAGAAAAATACCTAGTTTTGACAAGCTACCTCTGCTTCAAAGAGAAGGGGTAAGATGTACCCCTGCAGCTGCTCAGTTAAAAATATAAACGAATATATAGGCTTTGTTTGTTTTAAATTAGTGCAAGATAAAAGAGCAAGAGAAGACTGAAACGATGAGTTATGATGGTCTGTGTGCATAGTCAGTGGGTAGCAGGCAATGCTCAGATTGCTGTGAACAGAAACAGACATTTTCTGAACAAACACAGAATCGAGTAGCCATGTAACGTCACAGTTTCTAACAAGGCTTTTGGAAAAGGACATTTTTGCACCTGTTATGGAAATGAAACTAGGATTATCCTCTCCAACCAGAAAAGATGAGAATACCTCAGTGTTCACATGGATTTATAAAGTTGTCTATCCAGTTTAGTATTTCATCTACAACGTAAAGAGACATGGATCCACAGTTTGGTGAGACTTTAGTGTAGTTATGACATAAAGATATTTCAGTCTGGTTGGATTCAGCCATTCAGTCCCAGCCCCTCCTCTACATGATGAGAGCTAGCGTCCAGGCTGGGGGTCGTGGCTTGTGTCGCCTGCAGCTGTTGAGGAGGTGGAGATGCTGTTGTGTTGGATGGCCTGCAGATGAGACCCAGGACCTACAGGGGTGGGACTTCCTCCTGGGCTCACCCCTGCAGCTGGACACAGAGACAGCTGTCAATCAAAGTCACTGATCCTGTGTGGATTGTCCATACTGTGATTTGGGTTTGTGTGCATGTGGTTTTATATGAGCAACAAATGAATGAAAACCCGTTACAGTTGAGATTAAAGGAAAATATCTCTTTTATTTTAACAAATTAATACTGTACATACAGGTAAAAAGACGACAATAGAAATATATGAATATAACACATGCCAATATTGCATCCGTTTTTGTTCTCCAAAGCTCAACACTTAAAACATAATGGCTGCTTTCCATTTAAGCCACAAGGTGCAGTAATTTTTCAGTATCTTTTATTTTTGATTAGTTACAGGTTCAGTTATTGTTGAACATCAACTTCAGCCTGACTCGAGTGCAAGATGGGCATGGTCTGCATTTTGTTCCATGCTAGCTTCATGCAAGGCAAAACAGCCAGTGCAAGAACAGCACTGCACTCCAGGGTATTTCAAACACCATCAAGGTCTGGTTCATTAGATGAGAATGAAAATGAAAAATATATTCCTTTGAATGGTGAGTGCAGTGCTTCCCCCTGATTGGTTCTCCACAGGAATAAAAGTGCATGTACTAATAGACTGTGGGGATAAAAGCAGAGTTTTGACTCTTAAGTGCTGTTTAGTTGCATGTGGTAAGATACAGTTTAAGGTTCCTGTGTGTAGAGGGTCGGTTTGTTATAACAAGACAACAGGTAACCATGGGGTATTCCCTTATGTGCACAAATAAGGTATAATGTATCTGAATTATACCCTCAGTGGTGGATGGAGATGATTGGTGTCAGGCGTCTGGAAAAGCTGGTGATATTTCTAGCGAGGGGTACAGGGTATGGGGGTTTTACTCACTGGGGTACCCCTGTGCCTCTCTCTGCCGGGCGGTGACAGGACAGTCCTTGTGGGTGAGCAGAATCTGCTTCAGCTGACCCACCTCCGACCTCAATGACGTCACCTCGTTCTGGGAACACATAGAGAAATGCTAAGTATCCTTGAAGTGTGGATTGTGTTTGTGTGTGAGTACTTGTCTGTGTACAAAGCGTGTCCCACCTGCAGCTGCAGGTTTGTGTGCGTCAGCTCCTCAGCTTTCTTCTCCAGCGACGACACCCACAGCTTTCTCTTCTGTCGGCAGCGGGTGGCTGCAGCCCGATTACGTTCCAGAAACTTCTGCCTGCGTTCGTCAGGGTCCTGCTCTGCCGTCCTCCTGCGGCGGTTGCTGCCTCCTCCTCCTGTCCCACCACCACTGCAGCTACCACCTGCCTGCACTGCATGCTGGGAATGAGAAGGTTGCGAGGGCTGCATTTGTTGTGCAACTGGTGATAACTGCAAATAACAACAACAAAAAAAGACATTTTCAAATTAACCACTGTGCCTGAATGCAGCAATATGAGGTCAGGTGTTACTTGTACCATTACCAAGCAGCAACCTCCAGGCCTTACAAATGAAGCCAACACAGGAGTATGAAAAACTGCAGTAACTTGAATGGCCACTTGAGACTGATTCCAAAAACAAGTCAATTCCCATAAACTCCCATTTTAAAATGCCCAACTATACAGCAAAAAACATGTATACACCCTAGAGCAAAAAATGGTTTTGGTCTCTATAGCGAATTTCCCCCCTCATGACAACTGTATGGGTGGTGAATTTTTATAAAAAGTTTAAAGTTGAAAAGTTATGAAAGCATAGTTATGTATAAATGAGGCCTTGGCTGCTTTGAGTGGGTGACGCAACTGTTGGCAAGCTGTTCGGTGTCTAGCTGCTAGATTTTTCATGCAAATATCAGACAAATAATATGGCTTGTTGTGCAGTTAATTGATTAACAGGATGTGGAGAAGTCTCTGTTCCTGTTCGTTAAGGTGAGTGAAATTCTAGTATTATTTTATTCATATGTTAGCATTAAGTAGCAGGTATCCGTGTCTGCACTCGCTATGCTTAGCTTGTTAGCTTAGCTTGTTAACTAGCTAATTAGCAAGCAAATGAATTGGCCTTGAGTTAGCCTTCAGCCAAGACTACCAGCTGTGCTAACTATGCCACAGTTGTTAAATCGGCATGCATCGAAGTCTTGGCTCTACATACGCCCCACCTCTTTGCCCATCTTTGGATAAGCTGGGAGTTAGGCAGTATCTGTCACTGCCAAGATGGCCATGGCGGAGCAGCCCTTTTTGAGCTTGAAAACCACTTGTCAGAGACCTATGGGTGATGTCACGGAGGCTACGTCCATCTTTACGTGCAGTCTATGACCATCATTAAAATAATCAGTAAATGTGAAGCACTGTACCTGTGCTGGAACAGGCAGTGGAGGTGCAGGAGGTGAGGCCTGGTGCAGGTGTGAAGGCGGTGATTGGTGAGCCTGAGTGTGCGGTACATTCCCTGACTGGTGAAGCTGGTGGCTGTGCGAGCTTCCCAGGTGCTGTGGAGGAGGGGCATGACATCGCTGTTGGAAGGGGAGGGGTGGAGCCGGAAGCTGTGGATGATGAGGATGGTGATGAGGATGATGGTGGTGTTGTAGTGGAGGTGCCTGGTGGCGCTGTGACATCATCTCCATCATATGACCCATGGATGAAACAGGGTTGTTAATGGCGACCATTCCTGGGTGATGCTGTTGGAAATGATGGCCCAGTGTCTGTTTGGATCTCTGAGTGGAGATAGTAAGATAAAAAAAAATGAAAGGGACTTAATTTGTGCTCACTTTTCTTCCATATCTATACATTATATAGAGAAGGTATATATTTGATGCACTGTGCAAAGCTTTTGAAGTTAAAGAAAACATCAAATAGTGACAGCAGTTATGTAGAGTGTCCAGCTGATGTAGTGCATATTATAACACTGAACACCTTAAATGAGCTTTGAATTTCAACACGTGCGGCCATCTGGACAATCACTAAAACCAAGGTACAACATGCAAACATTCAGTTCTCCACTCTGGTATATATGAGAAACTCAGGTAGGAGGAGACCACCCTTGGAAATGGTTAGAAAGAATATAGAAAGACAAGTGATTGCATCTGATTTTGTAGCTTTGAGAAGGTTTTGCACTCCAGGTCCCTCCAGCACTTTAAGTTGCTTGAAGTCTTCTCTAATCCACATTCTTTACATATGCTTGCACTTAACTTACTTAATATTGTTAGTTTTTTCTCTTCAGTGTAAATCTACTATATTTCTGTTTATATATAACATGCCTCTCCCAAATTTCCCAGTGCATGCTGGGATAATTAGAGCCTAGCCTCCGGTAATACTGAATAGAAGCTGGCTGTCGCAAATGTTTCCTAGAGTATTATTTATGGCAAGAGAAATTTGTATGGTAAACATTACATTAAGTATTTTATGTCTTAATGAACTTAAGACGACTTTGGTATTTTATAAAAGTATTGTTTGTATAATCAAGCATCTTAATACATATAACTTGCTCTAGAAATTTATGGAAATTGAGAAAATGAAACACAGTTTCCAGAAGTGTATTGGTGTGAACTCCATTTTATATTTCTTTAACCCCAGTTCAGCAAATTAAAAAATAGCAACACAAAACACATATTTCAAAACTGCCTTAGTACTCTCATTATGTTCCACAAAGCATTACCATATGTGATATGATGATATGTTTTAAACAAAGCACTGTATATGAGGAGCTTGTGATTCCACGGAAATATTTTCCATCTCCATGTCATTGTGGGTAGAGTGTCTTTGACCCTCAGGAACCAGCTAAATTCGTAACAGCAGATAAGCTCCCAACTTGAGCCACTTCAGGTCAAACAAGCCCAAGTAGCCAAACCTTAGATGTAGATCCCCACAGCATCCTCTCAAAATGTCTCAAAATTAATAAACTGGACACTAACTAATTGCTCTCAGTCAAAATCTCCCACTCAGCCATTTCTCCTAATGCCCACAATACAACCGTGAAGACAACTGTAGATGAGATGGATAATTTGTTCTTGTAAATGCAGCCGTCTGCAGCTTGATACCTTCACACTTTATCATTCCCATGTATCATCTGACTAAACACACTGTAAGAGCTAAATTAAACCTCATCTCACCTTTCTCCTACACTCAGCAGAGGAGAGGGAGAGAGGGAGAGGTCATGTTTGGAGCATGACATCACCCCCCCTCTCTGGCAATATTGCTATCTGCTCCCAGTTACACAATATTTCTTTAAGAGAAGAAGCTGCTGAGTTTTTTTTTCCTCTCTCGCGCAACCATTCAGCGACGAAAAAAGGGAGCACATTTAGCGGCTGCCAAGGATGAGGTCACTGAGCTGTCTGTGCCAGCTTTACCAGCCAGCCAGCCAGCCAGCCAGGAAGCCAGTCAAACACACACACACGCTCAGCCACACACACTGAACAGGACGGGACACAAGTATTTCTTCTCTGTTTACTACATAGAAACACCCTGACACTGGGGCTGGTGATTACATCATGGATCGCCTTGGCCTGGATGACACACCACACTGATATTTCTGTCAGGAGGGATCAGTGAATGAAGACATGAAACTGTACGTGATACACTGATCCACTTGTCAAATGTTTACTTTTCGACTTGAGCTGAGTGTGGAGTTACTATACAGCAGAGGTTAATATATCTCCTGTGGTTTTACAGAAGCAGAGTCTTGTTTCACGCCTTGAAATGCAAAACACAACACCGATGAGACTAAATTACTATAAAATAGAATAAAGTTAGTCTGGAGAAGTGTGTGTGTGTGTGTGTGTGCGCGCGCGCGCGTGCGTGCGTGTGTGTGATTGAGAGAGAACAAGAGATGAAGAGAGGTTCAGATTTGAACCCGTGACCTGAGTGGCTCTGAAACCTGAAACCACTTTTCATCTGCCACTCTATATACAAGCTCTTCACATGGAGTCATAACCTGTGAGAGTGTGTTTATGTATATATGTGTGTGTGTGTGTGTGTGTCTGTGTGTGTGTGTGAGAGAGAGTGCTTGTGTGGACACAGGGCGATTTCACAGTTTTCCCTTTGAAGTTGCTTTTGATAGCACATATATATTTAACAATTCATAGTACATGCACCTAGAAAGAGGAAATGTAAAATTTACACGGGAAGAGATTGAGGGCATGTTGACACAAGGTAAATAAAACAACCAAGAAAGTCAGGGAGAGCATGTAGATTGTGACTTCCTGTGGTGTGTATGTGTGTGTGTGTGTGTGTGTGTGTTAAAAGTGTAGAATTACCCTTTGTTTCCTGCCTATCCTAATTAGAAAAGAATAAGCCAAAGACAGAATGTGCGTGTGTTTAATTTTATACAAGTACTAAATTGGTTTTGCCACTTATAGGACCTTTATTGAAAAATCATATTAAATTATGAGCCATCCAGTGGCTTCCTCCTCATATACAATCAAGGATGCTCAACTAGTGAATGTTTTATTAATTATTTTATCATATATCATTCAGTTTTAATCAACTATCAGCCGATAAAACCTGCAACTTTGCTCAACACTCTCTTCATCTTGGCATTAGGAGCTTCTAATTTAGTAGATTTCATCATTCGGGGACTCAAAGGAAACACATTATCAAGCATAAAGCATCTTTAGTTGGGAGCATCTTCTCATTGTGTTCTTGATAATGTTTTTTGCCTTTTTGCAAGCACACTTGTACTAATACAGGGATGTGTATAAACAAGTTTGTGGCTTTCATTTTTGAGGATAGATGAGAAGAGTGAAATCATAAAAAGTTACAGGAATAGTTAGACATTTCAGTGAAAACATTTATTCACTTGCTGGCAGAGAGTTAGATGAGAAGGTCAATACTACTTTCAAATATTAAGATACAGCCAGCAGCCAGTTAGCTTAGCTTAACATAAAGACTGGAAACAGGGGAAGAGTGAGCTAGTTAGACAGTTAGACAGATATTAACAGCTAGCCTATTAATATCTTATCTTTTATTGGTTTAAGAAAAAACAAAATGTATAAACAACAGTTCACCATTTTATGAAGGGTTATGTGTCAGACTATGTCAGGGCCTCCTCTAAAATGGCAAATTGTCATTTTTACATTTTTAAACTGTCATTTTCTACACATTTTTACATTTACATTTTCCCTTTTGTCATCAACTTGCTGCAAAGCAAACGTGCATTTCCCAAAATATTGAACTGTTCGTTTAATAATGCAAAGCTAAAAAATCATCTTTATGACAAAAACAAAGGCGTTAGTATCACTTTACAAAAAGCCACTAGTAATTTATGTAATGCTCATATAGACTCTATAATGTGTTATTACCAGAGGGGAAAGGAATAATCCACAGAGACAGGAAGAAAATATCTGAGCTGGTCAGTACCTGAGGCGAGGAACAGGAGGGGTTGTGTACAGGACCTGGTATACCCATTAGACAAGACATCTGCTTCTCTAGCTGAAGAGGAAAAAAATTGTCATAAAAATAACCTTTCAACCGTGACAAGAAAAAGCATCAGCACCTACATAACTTCAAGTAAAAAGAGCTCCCCACAAGGTCACATCCATCTGGAGTTTGACACTTTTGATTAATTTATCCAGAAGAGTGAAGTGAATTTTTCTGTCAGCCATGAATATTTCTAACTCGGGGGATCTTGACCACTTTGGCCACTATACCTGCATCTATAAATCATTATGCATATCTACCCTATAACAACACAACTCAATCCATTAAATACCTCAACAAACCCCAATGATATATTTAAACTTTTACCGCATTACTACATAGAATCAAAGAAGAACTGCATAGTTGGAACAAACTCATACTCTCTCTAATTGGCTATATATCCACTGTTAAAATGAAGATTGTCCCAAAAATAAATTATCTGTTTGCCATGACCACTGTTCATCCTCCCCTGGGCTGGTTCTCCTCTCTAAATTCAGCAGTCAATACATTTTACTGGAAAGGCAAAAGGAGGGCTTGATGCTCCAAATTTTTTACCACTACTTCCTCTCCCACCAGCTTCAGTATATCCAACACTGGACAAACAACTCCAATTCTGCATGACTTGATACTGACCAGACCATCTGTAAAGATCTCCCCATTCAGCATATTGCATTCATAGATAAATCAGTTAAAACCCGCAGCTGCTTCAAAGTTAACACTATAAATACCACTCTCACTGCCTGGTGAAAAGCGAATGACATATACCTCAAACTATCTCCCTCTACTCTCACTCCTATCTGGCATAACCTGATGTTTAAAATCAATAAGGAACCTGTCAACAACGGAGAGGAATAACCAGCCTGGAGCACCTTTCCAGTGGCAGTTCTTTTGTGACCTTTGATCTTCTCAAACAAACATACAACTTACCCCACCTCTGTCACTACCAGTACATACAGTTGAAATAAACCATAAAAAAGAAAATTGATGTCCATAACTTCCATAACTCATAAACTCAGAGACCCTTTTTTGCACCAAAAATCCAACTAACTCAACGTCCTACACAGAGTACACACCATTACTCACAAAATGTACCATACGGGCCTCACAGACAGCAACACCTGCACACACTCCCCCACTGTAATAGACAACCACTTCCATTCGTTATGGCTCTGCATTGGACAGTTTTGGTCTTTGGTCAGAACAATCTGACTCCATCCTTAACACCTGGTCTACTTCCTACCCTCACTCAGATCTCTTCAACCCTCATATGACAACTCAAAATACCAAAATAACCCACAATATTCTGGCTCTTCTTTTTTTCTTTCTTTTATTTGTTGTTATTTATGTTCTAATGTCTGTGTGCTTGTATTTTTGTTTTGTTAAATCCTTTGTTTTGAAGAAAATGAAGAAAAAAATCATTATGCATACGTGTCTAAATGCGACTGCATGTGAGTAACCGGCCTCTCATACTTACAGTCATGTGCTGAGCAGATGCCCCTTGCATGGCGGGGTCTGGCAGGGTGCCAGGTAAAGAGGCTGGCAGCGGTTGTCTGTGTCTGTTCCGCATGTGGAGGAGGGAGGACAGTGGCCCGGGAACTGGGCTGTGGTCAGCCAGAGAGAGAGAGAGAGAGAGAGAAAGAGAGAGGGACAGGTCATGCCAGGGAGCTATCCACAGCTAAAGTTTCACTAATCCAGGTTCAGTGAGAGGTGCAAATTGAAACATTTATAGCTGGGTTTTAATGACAGATGAGACTGAGATAAATGGATATGAAAAAAAAAGTCGGTGTGGGTTTTGTTTAATATCCACTAGAACAAACTGGCTTAAATTAAAGGGTTGGTTTACCAACATTATTTAAAAAAAATGTAACCTCACACTTACCTTTAGAGATATCCATGCATTAATAGTTAAAAGTTTTCAGTTTTTAAAATTTCTATGCCTAAGTTTTTACCTTCATCCCAATACAATAAAGATGAATGTAATTTTGTTTACAGGGCTGAAAACAATAAAAAAAAAAAAATCACATTTTAAACAATTATGTGTCTTTTTAAAAACAATCTAGTGTTTTCTATGGATACTCCACGGACCTTACTGTGAACAGTTTTCAATGGAACTACTTTTTAGCACAAAAATTGTTCCCAAGAATTCTATTGTTCTGTGAATTATCTTCTAATTGGAGGTCAATTATTGGGCTACTTTTATAACGATTGGACGTATTTGAGGTACTGAATGGGCTGTTTAATGTCAGTCAAATCTGAAAATACTGGGTGGAAGAGGCAAGTGTGAATATCTCAAAAATGTGGGCACAAAATTGAAACTACCGGGCTGCAAACCTCCATAAGAAAGTGAGAAAATATGCGGTTTTGTTATCTGGATGAACCAATACTTCTAGGCAATATGGTGAAAACATGAGAACAAAATGTAAATGTTATTGTATGTGAGTAAAAAGGCGTAAACAGAGGTTTGAAGTGAAGCAATGACAATGGAAACTATGATGAGGTGAAAATAGTGAAAGAAAACAGAGAGAAGGAAAAAAAGAGTGACAGCTTGAGAGGGAGGAGAGAAGCTAAGGGATCACAGCGGGGGATGCAGAGACCCAGGGTGCCATGTGCTGACCTAACTGCTCTGGCTCGCAGCCAATCGGACAGCGTGGGCCTCCGTGGCCGCGCTGAGGTCATCGGTAATGATGTCATCACTGAATCTGGGCTATGCGGCCCGTTTAACATACAACACAGTACAGACAAACCAAAACAACATTTCCTAACGTAACCACAACAGTTTCACCGGGCCTACAGCCAGACACTCAGAGACCAGGTTGCTATGGAAACCGGTGGTAAACACAAGGGGAAACAGTCAGACAGCCGATCCATGGTTCATTTAGTAACACTTAGCTGGTTTCACTGACTAACATGTCTGTCTGGATACAGCTGGCACTGATTTACTGTAGCATGATCGACTGTCAGATCTCTCACTGTCCTGTCACGTCCTGGCTGGTCCTGGACAGATGTTTGGGCCTTATTATGTCACTGACTTACTTATGGTACCTTGACTCATCTAATCAACTGCAGAGATGTGACAGAGGCTGGGTTTATCTGCAGTATGTGTTTAAAGCAGAAATCAGTAATAGGTTTGTTGGAGGGAGATACGAACTCTTTTATTTTTGTAACACTGAGATTTGGGAAAAGTTCAAAATTCCTTCTTAGCCTTTAAAGCATTAAGAACAGTCTCATAAATGTTAGGCATCCTGGTGGGATTTAAAGTGCTGACCATGTAACCGCAGTTACCCAGTTTGAATCCGACTGGAGACCTTTGTTGCATGATTGCCCATCTCCTCCTCCCATCATTTCCTGTCAGTCACCACTTTATATTTTCCAATGAAGAAATAAAATGCCCCAAAAAGCATTTGAAAAAAAAAAACATAAACGCTGTCGAAAAAGAAAATGTGAAAAAGTGTAATTTAATTTATTCATCGATGACTAGACATTTGACTCAGCACTACAAAAACTACAAAACCTTAACTGAACAAAATTTAAATTTAAATGTTTCTGCAAAAAAAAGTGCATTTGACATATTTAAAATTACAATTAGCAAAAGAATTTAAAATGGCAGTGATTATAGACATGCTGCAAGATGCGTCAGTCTAAGTGTAAGCACTGACTTTGATGTTTTGATTTAAGGGAACACTACATTTTGAGAAAATATAATGAGGCAAAAACAGTTCATTCTGGGGTTTTCATTCATTTATATATGATTATAATTGGAAAACATGTTGTCATTGCAGTCTTACACAGAATTTCAGATATCTATGAATTATGGAATTTGCAAATTTGTCAGATTAAAATTTTGAAATGTGTTAATGTTCCAAATGTGATCTATATTAAAGCAATGGTGTTCATTTTTACACCGCATGATTAAAGAGCAGCTTGTATTATCAATTACAATATTCCAGCCTATTTTCATTGCCTGAAGGTATATGGAATTTTATTACATTCTATTAATTGAATAAATTTAAATTTGACATGGGCAGTGTCTAACAAAACACTTTTTCTGATTAAAGAGTAGGCCATGATTAAATTTGCTGTGAAAATTTACACTAAACCCACAGTATATGTCTGTATAATCTAATATTCAGATGACTGAGTGTCTACTGCAGTTCACAAATCCACAAAATTGAACTGTCAGGAAGAGTGGAAGCAGCTGCTGGGAGCTGGTCAGATGAAAGACAGGAACTCCTCTAATCTGTCTCTTGAACTGGGTGATAACCAGGGAGCCTGGAAGCTGCCCAGACGCTGAGAGAGAGACTTTGAGTCTTAAAAGACATAACAGAGGCAGTAGTCGGGTGGTAGGGTGGGTAGTGTCAGTGGGTTTGAGTGGGTGTTACGCAGTGGCTCTCCATCTCTTTTGCTATTACTTTGTTCTCTCAGTAAATTGATGTTTGATTTTTTTCCCCCCTTTTTCTCTCAGTTCATTAGTGCAGTGATAAATTATGCAGGGGGGAAATGCCAGTCTGTGCCAGACAGAATGAGTTATAATACGTCCAAAACAGGATGGGCGAGACACGGTGAAGGGAGGGAAGAAAGAGTGAGAAAAGGCAACATTAAAAGGAAATATGTGTGTATGGGATGCGTTGCTGCATGAATGGATAGCTGAAGTAAGATCTGTGTGTGTGTGTGTGTGTGTGTGTGTGTGTGTGTGTGTGTGTGTGTGTGTGTGTGTGTGTGTGTTTGGGTGATTGCATGCATGAAGGTATGTATGTGTGCACCCTTACTCATACTCACCCTGAGTGTGTGAGCGTGGAAGGAGCCTGGTTGATGACTGATCCAGACTGGGAGGAGGGCAGAGTTTGCTGGGCAGCCAGGCTGCAGCTTGGGCCCACCATCGGGCCATGGGACTGGGGATGCTGCAGGGGATGGGTCTGGGGATGGTGCAGCGGTGGCTGGGGATGTGGGTGCTGAGGCTGGGGTGGGTGCTGGAGCTGAAGCTGGGGTTTGAGCTGGTGCTGGTTCATACAGGGCGGCCCATTATGGGTAAGCGTCTGTGGGGAGAAGCGGGAGCAACAAACAGCTGGGACCATTTTGAATGCTGAGGGAAGTCTCCATTTTCAATCTGTGTGCGTTTTTGTGATCTGAGGTGATTTTGAAGTGTGCGTGCGTGCATGCATGCATACATTTTCTTAAGGTGTGTGTGTCTGCATGTACTTGTGTGTTTGATGTCTAGCTGTTTCATTTGCAGAGGAGAATGTGATCGCGCGGTGTGTCTTTCCTTGCAGCAGGTCAGATATCTGCAGTCACCTAATTGGGTCTGACTGCTTTTATCTCCCTCATGCTCAAGTGTCACTCAAAACACAGACCTGACAGACTTGACAAACACCTAGCAGTAATAAGGGACAAGTCTGTGTATGTCTAACCACAGCCAGAGGTGAGAAATTCTGCTTAATTTTGCTTCATATTTTCTTGTAAATTTACCTGTTTGCTCTTTTCCTCTTCTTGTGCTTGAAGAAACTCTTCCTCTATCTCCTTGAACAGACCAACCTCTTCACAGTTCTGTAAAAATCGGGTTGGTGTCGGTGTCTGGTCTGGAAGCATTACATACAAATGCACACACACAAAAAGGTTTAAAGAGACAGGTTACAAAAAATGAGCAGACATTAATTTATCGCTGCCCTATTGCCACAATAGCCTCTCTTATTTTAGCTTATTTGCTTCCTAAATCAACTATCGCTGAGATTTGTGATGCCAAGTGGAGAAACAAATCAGCTCTCAGCCGCACTCTCTCTCTCTCTCGCTCGCTTGCTGTCTCTGTCTGTGATAACATCAGTCTGTCTCTCTGCGCCGTCTAAACACGCAGGGGTCAAAGGTCAGCTGGGCTCTTTGTTTTGACATAAGATTTCCTGCAGGAGGTGTGACAGGCTGCAGGACAGAGACACAGAGAAAAGACGCAGAGAGTGTCTGCAGAGGTTAGATGTCATGCTGATGTTTATGTCCCGACAGACAGCTGTTTCTATGGTTACAGACAGTGTTCCGACCATGAGACTAGTGAAAGGATCATGGTGGTATAATACAGAATGGATAGTAAAGCTACTCGTCATGCATCTATTATGCATCCTTCATTAGCTTGTAGATGCTTTTACATTTACAACCTTAATGCTGTGACATGTCTCAAATCACTGGCTACAAGATTATTAATTTTGCCTTTAAATAACTGCAAATTTGTTTTATTTAATGTCTCAGTGGAGAAACAACCACAGCATTATCAATAATGCACTGTTACATTCAGTACTGACTATGGTTTTTGAGTTATTGAAAGCAATTTTTTCCCAAATTTGTATTTTTTCAATCACAAAAAGCATTTCGAACAAGGCACAAAATCACTCCCCTAAATCCCATGATAATTAAATTCTCATTAGGTTAGCAGCCCTTTAAAACAAGATGACACCTCTCTGTTCACTTGTTGGAAAAAAATAAGCCTTGAAAGAAAAGGGAGGAGATGAAAAACTTGTAAATCTCTTAAAGAAGAAGAGAGGTTATATATATATATATATATATATATATATATATATATATATATATATATATATATATATATATATATATATATATATATATATATATATATATATATATATATATATATATATATATATATATATATATATATATATATATATATATATATATATATATATATATATACAGTATATAGATATAATTTTAAAGTTTCTGTGCAACTGTAGTATAGAGATTAAATCATTAGTGGATTAATCAGTTAGTTGATCAACAAAGGTACATTTTTTCAGTAATTTTTCAAGCAAAAATGCAAAACATTTTCTGGGTCCTGTCTCCTAAATGTGAGTATTTGCTGCTTTTCCTTGTTGTACTGTGTATGATAGTAAATTGAACATATTTGGATTTTGGACAATTTTTTGGACAAAAAAAGGGTATCTGCGTGGGTACTTTAATCCCCTTTTTTTCAGACATATTTTTTTTACCTTATCTTTCCTTGAATAATCTAATTCATTCATTCAAACGCTGTTGCACACAACAACAAATTAGGATTTGGTGCTAGTTGGTAAAGTCTCACTGCTCAGAAATACATGGTTACATCCGCGCTATCCTCCCAGTAGATTGTCTTCTGCTTCCCTTATTTTTGCCTGTAAAATATTTAAGAAGACCCCCTCCCCATTTTTTAAAATCAAGGTAGGTCTTCAGTGATGATTATCAGTATGTTCGGTCTAATCTGATGGCGGCGTATTCTATACATGTTGCAACACGAGCAGCTCTGTTTCACAGCACAGACTATGTGAGGGAAGGAAGCGTGTATCGAGCTTATCTGATTTCATACTGTATAACGTGGCATCATCATTTTTTCATCAAGCACTGATCCTGAACAGAGGTCACGACACACACATGCAGCCAGACAACAGCTGAACAGAGTGACATATAGCATGTCTGGTGAAAAAAAAAGGCAAAGCTTATTTGTGGTTATGGGAAGATCAGGGGGAAAGCTGCTAATTAAAAGCAAAATACCCCCAGAGGATCGGAGAAACCACACACACAAAACCCATGAAGTGAAAGCCAGTGTGATGTTGAACATCGGTGGATGTGGGAGGAATGGTTCTGTGCTAGTCTCACCTGTAAAAGCTGTGTCCGTTTTGATGGCGGGGAACTTGAGGGTCATCTCATGCTTGTGTCTGTGGATGATCAGGTGCTCCTCTAACTGGAAGCGCTGCAGCACACCGACAGAGTGAGAAAGATATGAAGAGATGCGTGCAGCTGTACGACATGACACATGGGAGGGGATGCTCAGTTAAATCAGCTGATGCCTCTTGGCTAACTCATCAGTCATGATCATATATAAATATGATTTTTTTATCCATTGTATTTTTTTCTAATTCTTATTTTTACTCTTATTATAATAATTTAATTCTTTATCCTTCAGTAGACTTTTTAGCAAAGCCTCAATGGTATGCCAACGTACATTTTAATGCACATATTTAATGGTCATGTGACAAATAAAAGATTTATTCTTAGATCATAAAAAATCCTATAATTATCAGCCTGGGAGTATTTGCCCACTCTTTTTTCCCCGCATACAGAGAACAAGACCAATTGAACTCGCATAATTACATATTGTTCACTTATAGTTTCCATAATTAATAACCATGTGATAATATAATATCTACAACATTAAAGCATTTTATTTAACTTACATTTACTTTTTGTTATTCTGTCAAGATCAATATAATAATATACAGTATTTTTCTTCAGGATTTGTAGCCTTTAATAGGTCTACTGTATCCAACTGACCTGAGAGCAGCCTGGGGCGCCACACACATAAGGCCTGTCCTGTTTGTCATTCATGTCATCCACAAGCCTAGAAAACAGGAGAAGCAAGAACAACATATTAACCTGCAGCATCATCATACTGTCTCAGGGTACAGTAACTGTATGATGATTTCATTTAGCAGACGGCCTGCAGTTCTCCATTTTATATTTCTGTTTACACAGAGACACTTTCCTCAGATAAATCACACAACAAGCTTGTACAATACAGTTATCCTCCTATTATCACATCTTGCAGTGGAAGCAATGTGTAATGAGGTAAATGCCACAGATGACGGATGTTTCACCCTGAGACACAAAATTATCTCAAGGAAAATGATCCCTTTGGTGCCAGCTGTATACTGAAGGTAGTCATTTTTATTAGGACAAGCACTATAATACATACAATTTGTTTATGTTTTGCTAACTATTCATTACTCATTACTAATAACATGTAAGCACCAAAGGGCATCAAAGTCTTACAGCATCACAGCATTTAAAGTGCTAAGTGTAGTGCAATTGTTTCAGCCTACAATTAGGCTTTCATCGGGGGACATCAGTTAATCATACGAGTGTGATGAAAGGCTGCATACTCGCATACATATAAATCAAGTCACCATAGGATAAAAATATCAGCACAAACGCAGAATACAGCACATAAATGAACCCATTTGCAGCACACTAACCCAGGCTTGACCCAGCCAGCTCTGCAGTGGGGATATTAAGCCAGTGATGGGGGGTAATTATGACTTATTTGAAGTGCTACTGCTGCTGGCCCTTCATTTTCCACTGAGTGCAAAGGAAGAAGCCTCCAACTCCCTGACCTCAGGCATTCCTCTGAGCTGCATGTCATCAACTAAGATTCACACACTTGTAGTAAGACGGAGAGGTCATTGGGTCATCCTCAACCTTTCATCCTCTTCGCTCCAGCAAGGAGGAAGAAGAAGAAGAAGTGTCTTTTTGGGTGGAGATACTGGTTTGGAGAAATGTATTGGATACATGTTCACAGGTACACATGCGCTCTGAAACTTTGAGTTTGCGTGAGCGAAGAGAGACCTGAGAAGACAGCAAAGTGGGTCCTGATGTTATGGGAAAGAGTGAGAGCTAAAGAGAGGAGAGAGGGGGCAAGAGTACATGCTTCCATAAGAAATGGAAAGTGTGTGTGTGTGTGTGGGGGGGCGGCGGTTAAGGGGGGGAGTGACATTAGGGTGATGGAGAGGGGAATGGAAAGGGCAAGTGGCAGTGAGATAGAGACAGAGAGAGAGAGAGAGAGAGAGAGAGAGAGAGAAGGAGGAGGACACAATGAATGGAAGAGAGAAGGAATGAGGGTGGGAGGCGGCAGAGGGAGGACTGTACTGGGCCTACTCCTGACAGGTTTGAACCTGCCTCAGCCCCCATTTTCCAACCCCAGGCAAGGTGACTTCATCTGTGTGTGTGTGTGTGTGTGTGTGTGTGTGTGTGTGTGTGTGTGTGTGTGTGAGCATGAATGTTTGTGTGTTACAAGACAGAATGAGCAAGCAAGTGCTCACGACACTACAATAATATTTAAATAACTTACAAACTCAGTTGAAAAAGATTTTTGTTTTACAGTTTTTACATAACTACAATTTATCGTGTGTCCTTTTTCTGCAATTATATTACGTAATCTCATATTTCACAGAAAAATTAAAACTGATAATTTGAATGAGTCATCGCTGTCTTCAACAGTTTTGACCTCTCCTTCCTCCTTTCAGCAGCAATTGTACAAGATGAGCAGACTCAGCACATTTCCAGCAAAACCTTCTGTCAGAGTGGTTACATCAATCACAATGACGTCATCCTTAATACATAAATCCAACAACAGACCAGACAACATGTTGCCAATTTAAGACGGATTAATGTCTGTTGAAAAAAAACAGTCTTTGGGGCAACGAAATTATAAGGCTTTTTCCCGCCTCTTCCTCTGTCATTGCCTATAGACTCGTGATCATCACAGCAATGATGATGAATGACATAACACACACAACTTTTAAAATCTCCCTGTGCTTGTGTGAATCACACAATGTTCAGTTTTAAAATAAATCAGCCAACTTCAGTTACTTACTACTTCTCTAAAGTTCCCATGTTTGGTGGATGAATGTCAACAACATCGAACCGGCTTGGAGCTCATTCAGCTCAAATTAAGCGGCGGTTCTGACCAGCAAGTCCTCCGACAGGCGGGCGGTCAGTGCCTGTATGTGTCTCCAGAACATGACCCGGTGTGTTTCCTTGCCCACAGCTCCAACCATAAAGCAACCTGTTCAACTCATAAACAAGCCCGGCACAGCTGTATGGAGGGTGCTGTCACACCCCCCAAATAGACACTCGCGCTCAACCCGACGTCCGCCTGGTGATGAGACTTCACCGGGACAGCTAGCCAAAAACTTGCCCCGTTAACTTTCCGGCACCGTTCAAAAAATGTTAGGTGTAAAAACAATTCCAGCAGACTATGGTTTAGAGTTAGGAGCGCGGTGGCTGCTCAGTTTAAAGTTTTGTGAATGAAAGTAGATGAGGCTTACCTACAAGTAGAGCGGGACAAGCGGCGCTCCAGAGAGGAACCACGTTGGACTGGAGCGAGATTACAATACGTTCTATTTACAGAAGCATTACATCACCCTCCCGGTGACGTCACGTGGGATTCCTGAACTTCTAAATCATTGCGGTCCCGTACGGAGAGAGGGATTGAGGGGGGCGGGGTTACGACACCGGCCGGTAGGGGGACGGGACGGGACAGGACAGGACAGCAGCATGGTGGTGGAACTGGACCGACACAAAAACCAAGTCAGACACACCAGCGGCAACGTGACGGGACACGGGGCAGACCGGGTGGGCGGATGAGACCCAGTTTTTTTTTCCTACCCACTTTCAGTGTCTGTGCGAACGGGACGTCCCAGCGACTGTATCGAGTTAATGCGTTGAAATGAGTAATAGCCCCCAGAGCTCTGTGAAAAGTTTTCTGAAGTCTATGATCTCGTTGCGTTTAAGTTCAAATACAATTCTTATTACGAAACACAAACAGGCTTTGAGGACAAATTAGGTCGAACTTTGTCTCGAAATGATGCCCACAAAAGAAACTGAGAAATTATGAAACTATGATTAAAGAACTAATGGCAGTGCTAATACGAGGCTACTAAGTAATGTTACCATAACAACAACAACAATAATAAATTAAAAATACTTATTATTAATGTTAATAATAATCATCATCATCGCCATAATAAATTGTGCAGTGACCCTCTGTTTTAATCTCTAATGAAGCAATATAATTGTACTGCCTCTCTACCCCACTATTTATTCTATCAAACACTCATTGAGATCAAGATCTCTTTTTCAAGAAGGACCTGAGAACAAAAACGTCTATAATCAGTCAACCATGCAACCAGCATAGCCTATAAGGAATAACATATCTTAAGTCAGACAAACAACAATCAAGCCACAAACAGACTTAATATATACAATTTATATACATACAGGCCTAGATATTGTATTGCAGTGATCATAAAATTCATTAGGGATTATAGAGCTTTAAAATCTCCAAGGGATGTGACAAGATTCCTATTGATAAAGTGTAACACTCTGTGATAGACTGGCTTTATTGTTACCATCAGTAGATCCACAGTTACACACTGGTTGCCATTGTGTGTTTAATATGATGTCATAAGTCATGATGAGGGCAAAGAGTATTACGTTTGTGTAGAGGACACAGATCTAACACAGGGACACTCTCACAGTTTAGTTGTCATTCATTGTGTTTTGTATTAAAAGAAGACTTTTTATTCTAGGATGTATAGTTTGGCGGTTTTCATTAGAGATTTCAAGTATTTTTATCCCCTTTAAGGGTTTTCGGTCAAACTGCACTGATTTAATTTACTGTTTCTAAAAACATATAAATGACCACTGTTTGGAGATTTGTTATGTTATGCCATGAAATCCCACTGGCAATACAAAACACCAGGATTTCAGTCATTCACATCTCCAGTGAGCTAAGCCATGGAGTAATATCTCTGCCATGTTTGGTCAGGGTTTCCGGCACTCCAGCCGGGCTGAAGCTGAACAGAGGGATATGGTTTTGTTGTGGTTGAAGTGCAACATGGGACCGAACCCTTCTGACTCATCATCCACCAATCGTCTAAAGTATGCAAATTCTGGTAGCCGCGGCAACAAGAAGAAACAGGAAGTTGTGGTGATGTCACTCTGTGTTTTGAGCTCTTCCCCGTGTGGATGTGAATCACTGTGTTTTGTTTTCAGTGCAGATAGGGGATGTTTTACAGCGTGTGTGTGTGTCTGTGAAGAGTGCACAGTCACACTAAAAAGTGTATGACGGCAGCCAGGAAGTCTCCTGCTGGTGCCCTGGAGCAGACAATGCCACTGAGATTACAACTACCTCCATAACTCAGTGGCAATACCAGCCATTACCATCTGGCATCTTCACCTCAGCATGGCTTTTAACAGTCAGACTGGGAGCTTTTAGAGAGCTGCCTGCTCAGAGCTTGATGTCACCTTGGCTGTAGAAATATGGTGTTTCAGGTCAAAAGTCAAACAAACTTAGTGACCTCAATGTCCATGCAGCATTATGCTCACTGTGGCTACATCATTTATCTGGCTCAGCTGTTGACATGATACATTGTGGTTTCTGACTATTTCTATCCTTGAATTGAAGTGTAATGTGCGACTTAAAAGTAAATGGAAACAGATACTTTAAACAGCATCCAAGTATACAAGTTACAGTCATCCGATTATGTAATAGTTAGAGTTAAATTTACATCCAACTCTGCCCTCGCATGCAGATCCACCCAAGAGCAACTCCACTGGTGTGCACCAAGTACACCATACAACATGTGTAAATTGGAGTTGAGTGTTGGCCATCGCACCGGTTGGACTGTTTGTTTTCAGCGAAAAGAGCCTGATAATCAGAAAATCCATGCTAGTTTGAAATGTATCCCAAACTGCTGCATTGTGCGCCACCCACAGACTTCAGATCAGATGATGTCATGCACCATAAACTCTCTCTGTGTCTCTCCCTTTCTCTCTTGCATTTCACAACACATGCTAGCACTTCTCATTTACGTAATGGTGTTGGGAACTGCGTCACTGTCACAGGTCTGATACACCATATGTGTGTAATGAGTGTGTTTATGTTGAGTGTGTGTCTACATGTTTGTGTGTAAGAGAGAACATCTGTGTTAGGCTGATGAAGTCACTGAATTTCTATACTGTACGTGTATGAGAGGCTGTGGAAGCTGGTGATGTCATGCTGTTTCTTTGAGTCTGTGTGATACTTATTGGTAGCAGTGAATCTGTGTGTGTTTAGTATTTTGTGTGTATGTTTCTGTGTGTCTTATATGCTTGGGTAAACAGAAGGCAGTCAGAAAAAGAGCGAGTGTGCTCCCAGGTCTTAAAGTTGTTTGCTGAAATCCCTGGCCAGTGGTTTATGACAGGCCATTTTAACGCTCGATTAACAGGTCCAACACAGGCCAGCCGGCCCTGGTTAGCCAACCCCAGTGATTTAAGGACATTCTCCTCTCTCTGGGAGCCACACACACATACACACACACACCACAAAGTTCTCTCCCCATCACTGAACCATTATAGGGTAACATTAATCAGTAAACTTTATGGATATAATAGATTATTTTGTCAATGGGTTATGCAACACTTATCATTTATATATTGATACAGACAGAGATACATATACAGTTGCAATATAACACCCCCTCATTTTTATTCCATTGTGAAATTAACTAACTTAGGCCAATGATGGAAAATTAACAATAATTTGAAATGTCACAAACAACGAATGTTTTTCATATTTCCATAATTTCATATAGGTCTCTTTCAAAGCCGGTGCATGACATATTTTATAAACAACTCCAGCCCAAACAGGCACAAAAACGTAAGGCAAGGCGAATATTTATATAGTACATTTCATACACATAGGCAATTCAAAGGCATAAAAGACACTAACAAAGAAATACCGCAGAAGGCATTTATGCTAAGCACATTACTAAAAATTTATATTTGGAAAAAGGGTAATCCAGCAACCATTTACCACGATGAATATAAAAAGAAGAATGTAGATTGTCAGCATCTGTCCTGTTCACAACCAGTTGTTATTCTGGGGCTATGATGCTGCTACTCCCATTTCCTAGAGTGTGGTCACCAAGAGCTTGGATCCTCCTCCAGATTTCTATCCACATAGACGACACAGAGGATGACTGCTCAGGCCTATTAATTGGAAAGCTCTCAAGTCCTAATGGGACTCATATTTATTGTTTTATTACAGGCTGGTGCACAGGTTAAACAACATCTGTAGAACAAATGTACAGTATATTACCTGCCACAGGTGCTCTACAGTTGATGATTTCCAGTTCAAAAAAATGTTTCAGACATTTGTGATCTTTTTCATGATAACTTCTCACATTGATGGTGTACATCAGATTAATTCATAATAAATTTTATTTCGTACTTTTCCATACAATTTTTAGATGGCTGCTTAATTCCTCAGTGTACAGTGAGTTGGTGAGTTCTGGTGCTGTAATAAACACTGTTTCAATGTAAACAGGAATATGTCAATCTGTTAAAACAACAGAGAGTTTAATACAAAAAATACAGTATATTACCTGGTTATATGGTAATCAGCATTTATATCAAATAATCCATCAAAGGAAATATTACACGTTTCTTAATTCACTAATATCTATTCCTTACATATGGATGAAGCATTTACATTGCTTTAGATATAACCAAATAAATAAATAAATAAATAAATAAATAATATATATGCGTGTGTGTATGTGCAAAAAGAAAATATCTGAAAAAACGAATAAACATGATTACGTTTATAGACCTATAAAGTCTGGAGCACTCCGTGATTTGCATATATGGTAGGTGTTTCTTTGGTGTGTGTTAAGATTTAACTTTGATTTTTTGTTTGTTTGATGTCATCAGTCAGGTCAGATCCCAACAGGTAGGCAGGTCGTGACGTAGCCTCCCACCAGCTAGCCCTCCTCCTCCCCCCATCCCCACCCCCACTGTCCCGCCTGCCTCCCAGCTGCGTCCGCCGCTGTCCTGTCTGTCCGCCCGGTGTCTGCTCCGCCGCTCGGCGCTCTGCCCCGCTCCCACCCCGGACCTGAAGCCTCTGCCTCCTCGTTCACCACCCCGGCTCCCTGAACCCCCCCGCCCTCCTCACCCGGTGAATGCACCAGCGCCGAAAACATGACGGGCATCGCCGCCGCTTCTTTCTTCTCCAATTCCTGCAGGTTCGGGGGCTGCGGTCTCCAGTTTGAGTCTCTCGCCGAGCTCATCGTCCACATCGAGGACAATCACATCGGTGAGTCGGGCCAGAGGGGGAGACGGAGCTAGGCAGCTAGCTGGTGTTAGCTAGCGTTCTAGCTAGTTAGCTAAACGCAGACAGGCTCGGGTTTGCATTCCGCTATTCCTTCTGCTCACTGCCCGTCGAGGGTCGTCGGCGTAGAGTTATTGAGCACCATGAGACTTTATTTCTTTTGAAAAACACTGCTTCCCTGTTAATTAAGTGGTCGCCTTTCTGTTTTATTGTGCTGTAGCTGTGATAATTACCTTTTGCAGCGGTAACTCGACTACGAGGGCCGCGTAGGTCTCATAGGTGTAACTAGCATCCCGACCAGGCAGCGGTTTCACAGCTAACATTGCAGAGGAGTGTGTTTACGTCGCCAGGCCTGATGCAGTGCAGTCGGGGCTTCCCTCACACTGCTTGTGTATTGAGCTGCCGAAAAGTCTGTCGCTTTTGTCACCTCAGGTGTGTCAACTCGTCGAGACATCACCGTCTGCAATGCTTTCCGATTATGTTGGTGTCACTTAATTACCATTGACACTGTATCAGATGAAACCAAGATGCTGCAGACATTCAGCGACATAATTAGATCTTATTCCACATGCACAAGCTTCAACTTGTTGCTTATTAGATTTGCATCTGACAGTAAACCCTCTGATCACCACAATAGTTGGGAATATGAACCTAATGCAAAAGATTTAACCCGTGGCAAAGAAACAAGATAATCAGCAGTGCTTTATTAAATTCATATATTTTATTTAGTGTTACCTGTTTATATTTAGGCTACCAGCTTCACTGAATGTGACAAATAATGTGGTATATCATGAAAAACAAAGTTGATATTAACTTGTAATTAAAATGTCATAGCTGCAGATATAGCTGTTAGATGAGGGCTTAGTAAATAAAATATTAGCAGTGTGTATGACTTGAAGTCATTAGCATTAAGTTTTTTATTTATTCTAATTTTAATTGATTACCACCAAATTACTCAAAAATCAGTTACAACGTTGATGTGGGCTAATCGTTATTTGTGGTGTGTGTACATCATCAGGGGGCTATTTGAAGGGGGCGAGGCGACAGGGTGAGGGGGGTAAAATGGATGCTTCATTGAGCCTGTCTCCATGGCAACTGGCAGTCTCTAAAGGGGTTGGGGGCAGTATATTGGCTGAGCTATTGCACACCTGCTGTCTCACTAACAAAGAGCGCTAACCAAGCAGCCAGCTGTGGTGAGGACACCCAGCGTGTGATGTCACATCACATGTGGTCCGGGACTGATGTGCTGATGCTTAAAAAAGTGGTGAAGTTTTGTTTGACTGTGCTTGTAGGGAAAAGTGGAGCAGGGTGGGTGAATAGGTGAGTGGTGGTGTTGTTGTGGATCACGCTTCATCCTACCATATGCTCCAGGGATCTCTTCCAAATTATTCAAAGAGGGGAGAAATAAAGTCTGCCATTTTATTTATTTATTTATTTATTTTACCCTTCCTACCCTGACAAACACCTGTAGACCACGATGTTTCCCATAACTCATTAGTGAACACATTTTACAGGATCAACACTGACAGAGAGGCAAGGATGGATATTGCTTTCTCAGTCACACAACCCAGACTGCACATCCACTGATATATGCCCCCATCTGGCTCTTAGCTTGACCTTTGACCCCAACCGTCAGCTCAACAGAATGGTGGTTTACTAGTCAGATCACTTGAATTAATGAGTTGCCCTCCTGCTCGCTTTATACTGCGGCTGGTCATCCGCAGTGTCAAGATCACACACAGTCTAATCAATACTGCGCGCAGATCAGTTACCACAGGGATAAGTGTGACAGATGGAGGGGATTGAGGTGAGAGTGTGGGAGATGGGGGGAGGTAGTGGCATTTAGCTTTGACTCCTCTTTGGTTTTGAAGTGGTGCGATGGGGTGTGATCAATAATCAATCAAAAGATAAGCTAATTTGATCCTCCTAGCATCTTCTCATGAGATGTTGGATAAGCTGTTTGAGGATTTGAGGATAACAGATTGCCTTGATTTGTGGTCTGTCCTGCAGTGTGCAAACAGATTACAAAAAAGACGGTGCTACCCATAAATCAGATAATCTAGAGGTGATAACAGGCTTGTGATGGCAGACATAAATAGCAGTAAAAGTGAGTCAGTGGGTCTGAGGTCAGGGTGCAGATATCAGTGTGTGCCTGTGCCAGAAACATTTGGTCATTATCATAGACTGTGCTGCCCTCTTCTGGCAGGACACCCCATGTGCTGCATAGTCTAAAAAAGTCATATTTTGGTTGAGACGTTGGTTTGGCACTGTGTTTATCTCAATTATCTCACCTTGTTACTTATTTGGACTCTTGCCTGATCTGACACAGCACACAATAGCTGGCAGCAAACAGACCAGATGATCCTGTCGTGATCCTTTCCGTGACAAAAAGGGGAAATGTGTGGGTCTTCAGTTCTGACCTCATCCCAGACGATAGGATAGCAGCCCTCCAATAACATGCCCGCACTGTTTATATCACTGCTGAATACAAGAGGAAATGGGTTAGGTGAACTGTGTTTGGTGTGGTGTTTGGTTGTTGTCGAAGGCTTTGTGCTGTGACTCTAGGTAAGGTCTGAGGAATGCAATGATGTCAGGCTTGTTTGCCTGCGTGCGTGGCAGCAGTGCGTTGTGTTCTCACCTGCACAAGCACATACCTGCCTCTTACCTCAACAAATAGGTGCAGGGAGGGAGGAGTGGGAGGTAGATAGAGATTAAAAGTAGGTAAGAGGTTTGAAAGAGAAGGTTAAGAAACGAAAAATATGGGGGCGAGAAGAGGGAAATCCCAAACATCTCAGATTTGTTTGGACAGATTCTTTTTTTTCATCTGGATTTGATTTTATAGCTGGAATCTGAGCCGTGACTTGAGTCAAGCCAGCATTGTGCTGTAATAATGTAGGGTCTGCCTAAGCATGCTGATAATGAACATGCAGTAATTTTAAAAGGCGCAATCACTCAGCCCACAGGGTTAGTTTGGCTGTAGCATTTTATCAGCCCTGGCTCAAAGAAAAGGCAAATGCAAACACAATATGGTGAAGAAGGTGTTAACTGTCTGACATTAACAGAGAGGAAAACCCCTTTCCAGCTGCTATTAGTTTTTTTTAATGAGGATATAAATGCATGACTAAGGAGTTATGAGGTGAATTACCAGAAATGGTCTTTGTGCAGTGTTTGTGTCTTTGATGATGCCAGTAGAGCTGGGTAAGAATTCATCATTTTGTGATGATATGATTTTCAGAGTTGAAATGATTAGTCAATTAATTAATAAGTTGACAGGCAGAAAATTAATTGACAGTTGTCATTTTTAAGCAAATTTTCAAAACTTTCTCTGGTTCCAGCATCTTGAATGTGAATAATTGCTGCTTTTCTTTCTCTTACATGACAGCAAAATGAATATGGACAGCTAGCCAGACGCAACAAGGCATTTGATATCATCATGCGTCATAATATTCTCTTGCAGTTCTCTGTTTGCCAAATCAGCGAGCAAAAATGTAAACATAAATAACTGTTTACAAAGTAGACATAAGAAGAGTTTGGTGTCATGTGTCACAGTTCATTGCTTTGATTTTAAATTAGATTATTTTATATTTTGCGATGCAAGTTGTGTTTATTTTTCTTATGAAGTTATGGGGCAGTTATTTTATCTATAAACTGTCAGAAAATATTGAAAATGGCCACCACTATTTCCTAAAGTCCAAGATGATGTCTTTAAATTTCTTGTTCTATCTCACCGATAGTCTCAAACACAAAAATAAATAAATGCACAGATATACTGTCATGATAATGATTAAAACTTTATATTCCAGCCCCAGATGCCAGCTTGTTTCTCATCCCACTTTCAGAGGTGTGACAGGGGAAGGGGCGTGTGTTTGTGCGTGTGAGAGAGTGTGTTCACCATACTCACTAAATGACCTGTCAGGGTGTAGTGGAGCAATTAGTGGACTGGCATCCTAAAGTGGAAACTACAGCCCTTCTATTTTCACACTACACACACACACACACACACACACAGTCACATGGATCACCTTTCGGAAGTCACAGGGCCCGTGCGGCCAACCAAGCCCCGGGAAGTGTAATTACAGAGAAGTTTGCTTTTTCCCCCACCCATATCCCCCCTGCTCCCTCTCCTCCTCCCCCTCCTCTCCTCTCCCTCCATCCGGTTGCCTGCTGCTCTAGAAACACTTTAAAATGCTCTCTGTGGCTTAATTAGCAGCCTGCAAAACAAGCCATGCATTCTTGGCCTGGTTTCAACACATACACACACACATTCACAGAGCCATACACATGTTCACATGCAGTACATATGGTCACATGCAGACACTGTGTATTCAGCAGGGGGCAGCAATGTGCCGCCAGTGAGAGATGGATGTCTGTGTTGAAATACTTGGAGGGGCTGTTGATTGGTGCTGCTTTTAATGACAGGAATGCTAATTAGGGAGATATTTATAGACCCTGGAGACTCTGCAGTGTCTCAGACCTGCAGCACACATGTACTGAAACACGCAAATATGTGAAAACACACGGAGTAGGTTGTTTAATATAAAGCTTTGGAATTAAATCAGTGAAAGTTGATATCCATTTAGTTTTTTCCGTGTGTGTATGTGTGTGTGTCTGTGTGGAGGTTCCCATCCTGCTCCAGCAGCTAGATCAGCAGCGTGTTAGCTTCCTGTCCTGCTAGGTGAGCGGAAGTCATAAAACCAGTGAACATTTACTGCAGCTCTCTCTGTGCACCTGGCTTACCCTGTTTCCACCAACACCCCACCTCCCCCCCTTCCTCTCTATACACACACACACACACTAACACACACACACACACACACACACACACACACAAAACGACACATTAACTGATCACGAAAATAATCACTAGTTTATGATACCAATCTTGAAATTTGCTGGTCCTCAAAGCAACAACACATCTAAGTTTCTGAGCTTGTTTTAACATTCTAGTGAAACAAGCAGTGAATGCCTCTACCTTTTTGTTCATTTCCATATTACATACCTGATCTACATCAAAAGTTTTACTATTGATTAATCTTCAGATTGAGAGAAATTATTCAGTCCTAAAGATATTCAGTTGACTATCATAAAATGAGGAAAAGCAGCAAATTCCCACATTTGAAAAGGTGGAACAATAAAGATGTTGCTTGAAAAATATTAGAATAGTTTTACAATTAATTTTCTCTTGTTCTAATCGATTAATTGAGTAATCGTTTCAGCTCAGTTAAACACGCTATCTTTCATTTTTTTTCTTGACTGTAAATATCCGGAGAGAGTCAGAGTTATATTAATGTTTAATAATAATTTACATTGTGGTAGATAATTCCCCAGCACTGCTACAAAAAGGCTTCAACTCAAGGACGATGATGGGTGATGTCCCAAGACTTAGCCTTGCCAATGCTGTAGGTCGAGGTGTGTGTGTGTGCGCGCGCGCGCGCGCGTGTATGTGTCTGCATGCAGAGAGCTCTGGTCTCTACATCTGAGCAGCAGGTAGGATTATTAAGTCTCAGCTATAAAAGACTGTCAAAGACCACCTCTGTGGACCACCTCAGGTGTGTGTGTGTGCGTGCCTGCATGCGTGCCTGTCTGCCTGTATTTGTGTTCAGGACTCAGGACTCTGGTCTGTACAGCAGCAACAGCAGCAGTAGTGTGCATTTTTGTCCTGGGTTGTTTTCTTGTTTGCTGCTCTCCTTGGTGTTCTTCTGCACTGTGGGAAGTCTGCATTCTTTTTTAATTATGAGGTGTGAAAGCCTGAAAACCAAAGGGCTGAGAAGACCAGCACGCAAGCACACACACACACACACACACACACACACACACACACACACACACACACACTTGGGATTAGTGGGAGGGAGTGTCCAGGAGTGTGTTGTTAATTGTTGCACAGAGATGATCCAGTTCCTGGATCTAAATTGCAATACATCTGCTAGCCATTACATACACAGCTTCAATTATGCCTACATACACACACACTCTCACACAGACATGGACATGCACGCCATGGCATAAAACTACAAGTTTTTTAGTTAGTATCCTTCTGAATGTTCCCGTGTTGAACACTTGATGGCACCGGTACTTCACAGATGCATCCAGGCGCAGTGTTTTCATGCACACTTGCTCCTGTTTTCCAGGGGGTGGGAAGGTGGGGCTTTGAAGTTAACACTGCTTCCCTCAGGCAGTGGAAGTTGCCTACTGTAGTGTTACTGGCGTAGCAAGTCAACTGGAAAAAGCGTGAGCGTGTGTGTTTTTGAGTAATACACTATGTACATTCATCACAGCCTCCAAGTCACTCTTTCAACCTCAGACAAATTTCCTCTTTGCCACATTCAGTCCCTGCCGATGATTAAGCAGACTTGGGTCACTTAGGGAAAGACACGGAATTACTAAATTAGCGAGGGCTTGGCACTGGTGTAATAATGTGCTGCTTATGAAAGTATTTGAAATGCATCTGAAGCTGCCATGTAGCACAGACTAACACAGAGAAGGCAGTGTGGGAAACATCCAGTAATCTATCAGCCAGTCTGGCAGGAAGAATAGATGTATGAGTCAGATACATACTAAGAGTATTCACACAACATTTTCCCTCCACAGAGAGCAGTGATTAATCTGAATGTCTCTTTCTCTCTCTCTCTCTCTCTCTCTCTCAGACACAGATCCGCGAGTTCTGGAGAAACAGGAGCAACAGCAGCCCACCTATCTGGCCCTAAGCTACATAAACAGGTACACACACATTCACACACACTTAACCCAAAGGTGTCCGTCTATAGAGGGCAGCATTGCTCCACCAGTGAAAGCCTGTTGGTGTGTGTGAGAGTTCATGTGGCTTGCGGGGAGCAGCTCAAAGTTGCTGATGTCTTCCCATAGACACAGCAGTGACTCATCCACAGACCGGCACAGAAAAACCACACAAGACAGTCACTCCTGACTCCCTGCACTGCAAGCGGCTCGACCAAAGGCGGCGCTTCAGGATTACAGCGTGTGTGTTGTTATGCGGTGGTGGTGTCACGTCCCACTTAATGTCCCATTAAATCACTCCAAGATGCAACATTGAGAAAGATAACAGGAAAACATAGAGAGAGAAAGAGAGAGTGAGGTTTGTTTTCTGTGGTAATTGTCCAAGTGGCGAGGTTGTAAATGTCATCTGTATTTACTGAACAATGTTGTGATGACTGTATATTTAAGGGGCAGTTCATTCAGCAGCTGAATTATGTTTTGGTAAAGCTCAGACTTCCCTTTCAAATCAACAGTCTACAGAACAGCCATAATTATAGCAACAAATGACACTATAGAAAGTAACACACACAAACAAGTAGTAGTAAGTATAAAGAATATTACAAACAATAGGGCTTTGTTAAGGCATAATTAAACTTATTTATAACTTGAACCATAATATATTTTACTCACCAAGGAAATTGCTGACTGCATTTTTAAAAAGAGATTAGACAGTTGATCAGGTTTTAAACAAACCTGTATCTTTTTAGGAAAGAAAACAGAGGTGATTGGTAAGATGATTACAGTTTAAAGACTGACTTCTTAGTTTAGTGTTCTTGTAGCAAACTTGCCATAGTTGTGGCAAGTAGGGATTATTGCTAACATCTCAGGTGTGGTCGCTTATTGTTTTACCTCCAAGTGTTTTTGATAACCTGGATACTTTCATGTCCCATCTGACTTCATTGTAGTGACATCTGTCTGTTTCATGATCTCAACAGTATCATAACTGTTAAGGATGGCCAAAACTAAAAAAATAAGACCCAAGCTGAAATAAACCAGAATGGTCCTCTAAGTCATAAACAATAATCAAAGGAAAAATTGAAAGATCAAATGGGAATTTGTGAAATGACATTTGGATATTTAGTGGCTTGGAAGGATGTGATCGTTTGTTTCACCAACATTGCCTCCATTTATAAGTTGACGTCAACATGACTGTCACATGGAAGGTTTGTTGGTGAATAATATTAGATGCAGGGACTAGAGCTTGACTGATAATATGATGATGATGATATTATCTTATTGCAGTATCTTTCAGTAGGCACAGTATTATCATTAAATACGGTAGTTTGTTCACTAGGGAGTATCAACAAATTGATTTTTCAAATGTAAAATGTCCTGATTAGTGTGTTTTTTTTTTTAAAAAAAAGCAAAAACCTAAAGAATCCTCATCAAGAGTGTTTGTTATAGAAAATTATGATCAGCCGATAAATTGTTACCATATTTTTTTGAATTCCCAAATATCAAATGGGCAGAAAAAAAAGTGTCAGTTGGATTATAGGGGGACTCATCACAGATTTTCTGAAAAAACCACATTCGTGCCGTCAGGTTCATGACGGATGCGGCACGCAGGGAGCAGGAGACCATGAAAAAGAAGGCCACGCCCAAACTGTCCCTGTCCATCACGGGTGGGGTGTCCAGGAACAGCACAGCCACGCCTCCTCGCCACACCAGCGGTAACCTGACGCCTCCCGTCACACCCCCCATCACCCCTTCCTCCTCCTTCCGCAGCAGCACACCTACAGGTACGACAGGTGTGTGTGTTGAAATGTGTGTTTGAGAGTAAGACAGATGGATTGCTTTTATGTGTTGAGTGAATGGAGGTGTTGAAACTAATGCAAATGAACCTTACTGGTAGTAACAGAAAAAGCTTAGAGTTACGGTTGTGCCATCGGGAACATATTCATCAAACTCCGGCAGTGCTGATGAACAAACGAAGGAGTTTGTAAGCTAAATGGAATGCAGCTTATTTCATACCTGGTCACTGAGCAGGAAAATTCAAAACATAACTTCAGATAATTTGCCAAGAGCGCACGAGCCAGCTCACCTTTTATTTAGCAATGTAACCTGTAAATAGAAACCACAAATTTTTCACTTTTAACCATAAAAAGCTATTGTGTAATAGCTTGGAAATGTTTCATGCCAGTATTTCCTCAATTTTTTAAATCGTGAGGAAAAATCTTCTTCCAGAGTAGAAAGTGGAAGAGGCTAAAACCCCAACAACTGTCTGCTGCTGCTGTATGTATGTATGTGTGTGTGTTGTTCTGTGTGTTAGATTAGGTGGCTCCTGCAGTGAGCAGACCAGTCAACACTCTGCTAATTACATAGCAGCTGTCACGCTGTGTGTTCGCATGGGGCCGTGTGTTGCACAGCCCAGAAGCAGATGTCCAATTCCAGCCCAAATGGTTCCAAACGTAGCGTTAGGTCTGGGCTTATACACCAGCATGGCTACACATGCACGCACGCACGCAGGCACACACACACACACACACACACAACACAAACACATGCACACGTACACACGCCCTCTTTCAACATGTGCCAGGGTGCCATCCATTTCCTCATGCTGAGGTGCAGCATTTCCTGTGAGATGGTGGGGGGTCAGTAGGCCTTTATGTGTGTTTGTGTGTGTGTGTGTGTGTGTGTGTGTGTGTGTGTGTGTGTGTGTGTGTGTGTGTGTGTGTGTGTGTGTGTGTGCCTGAACATTTCAGTGATGTGTCATGTGGATGCTGTTGTGTGTGTGTGTGTGTGTGTGTGTGTGTGTGTGTGTGTGTGTGTGTGTGTGTGTGTGTGTGTGTGTGTGTGTGTGTGTGTGCATGCATGTGAGTGGAAAATGTTCTGCACTTAGCAAAGCACTTTTTCCAGGCTGAGCAATGGGGATCACTCCCACTTAATGATCTCTTTCTCAGTGCCAATCCCTGTGTTTTGACTCACAGACACACACACACACACATACACACACACACACACACACACACACACACACACACACACACACACACACACACACACACACACACACACAGAAGCAGATACACACATGCAAACCACTGCTGTTTTGTCTGAGCAGTGCTTTCATTTACAAGTGGACCGCTAATCCATCAAAGTAGGAGCAGGATACAGAGAGATGTATTAATAAACAGTCATATATCATTTCCATTTGGTAAAGTCCCAGGGCATTTTGTCCTTTTGGGTAAAAACTCACACATATTTCATCCGAGGATGACTAGATAGTTTTGTTCTGCATCCTCTATGTGTCTCCAGGCAGTGAGTATGATGAGGAGGAGGTAGACTACGAGGAGTCGGACAGTGACGAGTCGTGGACCACAGAAAGCGCCATCAGCTCCGAGTCAATCCTCAGCTCCATGTGCATGAACGGAGGAGAGGAGAAACCGTTCGCCTGTCCCGTCCCTGGTTGTAAGAAGAGATACAAGGTAAGGCTACACCAGAGGACAGAGACAAAAGTCACAGCCACAGGACACACTGGAGATTTTGTCTTAGTATCACATGGCTGGACATAATGCTTGAAAAAGCATGTTATAAATCCAGAATAATGATTGGAAGCTGTGATAAATATATCACGACAAATTTGTTTTGGTTGAATTTATGTACAACTGTTCACAAAAGCCTCTTTCAGCTTGTCGTGCCTGCTCTTTAACTAATGGACAGTGTGGGAATGTTGCCCTTTAATACCCTTTTCAAATTAAAACAGTGACGTGGAATAAAGCCACATTTATTAGTGATCTGAATGAGCCCACATATGTTACCTAACGTGGTTTACCCACCGTGCCTCTCTCCATGGTCTGACATTGTTTAGCTTTGATACAACAAGACTAAGAGTCTACAGCCATACTAGCAGCTTTGAGACGCTCTACCAAGGCACAGATCACAGATATCAACCTCATGGTGGCGCCAGAGGAAAAGTCAGGGTATCACCAAAGTCATAAGGACACAGTGTCCTGGAGCGACAGACGTCAGTAGAATATTTCATGGCAATTGATTGAGTAGATTTTGAGATCTTTCAGTCTGGACCAAAGCGGTGGATTGAACAACAGACCAACATCATCATCCTTACAGCTACACTGCTAATGTGGCCAATGTGGCTAAGAAAGGTTTTTGTGATAACTTAAGAGTTACTATAGAATGCTTATCAACGTATTATCCCAAAACAAAATAAATAGCATAGATTTTTCTCTTGTCTTGTCTCAGGTCCTTGAACATGATGTATGTTGAATGTGACTTGATGTTTATTATTATTCAAAAGGAGACAGAAGAAAAAGCTTCAAAAAGTTCCACAAACGTGCAAATGTGCAAACACTGCAGTGAAACTTTTAATGCATTTTTAATGCATTTAAGAAGTGGTGAACTCTGTTAAGCAAATATGCAAATGGAAATGTCCCGGACTTGATTGCAGGACTGGGATTGGAGGACTGGGATTGCGTCTGTCTGTCTGTCCCAGTTTGTGTCTGCATTAAACCATTAAACCACTTAGAGACAGTGCTTTGGGGTCTAACATGATGGAACAGTTTATGAATTGGTCTCTAGGATCAATTCAAGAACAGTCTCTAAGAACAAATTGTGGATTTTGCATGAGGTTAATGGTCTACCTAATGGGCATAATAAACTACAGGTTGACAGTAGTCTTTTACTCAAATTGTTGATTGATCTTGTGTGTAGTATGCATGTATCCTTTATTGAATATTATTATAGTGAATTGTATGGAACTGTAACCATAACCAGACTGCATCCATGTTCAATACTGCATGTTAAACAAGGGGTTTGACATGCAACACGATTTAATAGAAAGTGGTAAATGTAACCCTTTGTAACACCCTTCCTTGTCTATCTCCGTATCCCTCTTCTCCCCGTTCCCATCTCAATAGAATGTGAATGGCATCAAGTACCACGCCAAGAACGGCCACCGCACGCAGATCCGTGTGAGGAAACCTTTCAAGTGTCGCTGTGGCAAGAGCTACAAGACCTCGCAGGGGCTGAGACACCACACCATCAACTTCCACCCACCTGTCTCCACCGAAATCCTGCGCAAGATTCAAGGCTAGAGACTGTGATCACGCCAGTCAACTGCCCCAAACATAGCCCTGTTCTATCCTGACTTTTCCTTACCCAACCCTTTTTATACCCATCCCATACACTAAAGGATCAAGTGCATGCTTTAAGTTGTTTTTATTATTTTTATTTTATTTTTTTCATCTTTTTGTTGGTTTGTGTTACATTATTTTTTCTATCCATGTTATATCACTTGTATTTTTGAAAAAAAAAAAGTATCTTTGTAGTATTTTTATTGTACATTTGCACATTCGTATATGCTATCACGTTATTTTTTTTCTATTGTTTGACTTACATAAGGTGCTAACTGTAAAAAACAACAGAAAGAAAAGACAAAAAAAACAAATGGAAGAAGAGAGAGGAAACGTAAAGGGAGAAAGTGAAACAGGAAGTGCAACCAAGCCCTGCCCCCATTTTCCCACTCGTCTGTGAGGGATGAAGTTGAGTTTAGTGCTGATCTGAGCTCAGTTGTTCTTACACTCCTCTGTGAGATGCAGTCTGCCGAGCTTAGGTCTGTGCCTTTACAGCAACTTGTGGGGGTTTAAGTGCGAGAGTTAAGTTATACTTTATATAGATATATTGATATATATAAACAATAGACAGATATGTATGTGTACATAAAAATATATAAGTATTCATGAGCATATACATAAATAGTTACACTTTATTTTCAAGCTTTATTTTATATATTTTGTCAGTGTTTTAGATAGTGTTTTTTTTCCAATGTATCAGTAAGTGTTCCTTTCATCCCTTATTCGCTGAGACGGCCAGTTTTTGTCACCTCAGAGGGCAAAGGTCAAACAGCTGGCTGACTTTACGTTTTCTCTCACACATCCTAGAGATTAGGAGCTAATACGCCTTTCAGTTTGACACACTCTGAATGCGATATTTCACTGTTGATCAGGAAGAGAGCGTATTTGTACAAAGGCCAGGCCAATAATCCACACCTTAAACATTTCATCCCCACAGAAAGCCATCCATGTATTTCATATCTCCAGTGTTTCCTCATTCAGAGTGCCAGAGCTGTATTCAAGAGACTTAGCCTTGAAATCAGGTTAAGCATCATAATGTATTCCAGTTGCCAATATCTTTGTTGTTTTTTGTTTTTTCCATGATCGTTGCCATCAGCTCTCCACTGCCAAACATTGACCATACCATGTGCCTGATGAGGGGGGAAAGGGAAGGGAGGTGGGTGGAGTGGGTGGTTGTGCGAGGGAGGGAGGGAGGGAGGGAGGGAGGGAGTTGTAATCGTTTCAACCAGGAGGTTGCCTAACGTGTGGCAATGGTTTTCTTGTTCGTCGCGCCTCCAAAATGTGCGGATGAGTGGATGTACGTCGGCGGAATGTCTTCGCGCATGCTTTCTGTGTCGTTACGCGAGAAACAATGTGTGAAAGAAGAGGGTGGGTTTGTATTTGAAAGAGATTACCACCTACAACCTGTCATTTGTGTGTGTTGTAGACAACAACATTCCAGTTCATTGTACGCATGGATGTGTGTGATGTGTATGAGTGCTGTGTGCGTGCGTGTGTGTGTGTGTGTGTTTTTTCAGCAGTATCCAAGTCATCAGCCTATAGTTACTGTTAGAGTTACTGTGTTCAGTGTGTTTCAGTGCCAGGCCGCTGGTTCGACTCCTGTGGAGCAGGATGGTCGGCTTGCTGGCTGGCCGGCTGGTAGCGTTGCGTCATGTAGTGTTTTTGCCCCTGACTGGGATTTGATCATTCATTGCCTCTAGAAAAACAAGAGTGGTGCAGTGCAGCGCCGCGTGCCAAGACACATGACATCATGTCCCTCATCACGCACAAAGTTTGAGCAGAAAGCTCAAAGTGTGAGCTTCTTCTCTTCTTTTCATTCGATGGGTACCGTGGCCCTCTGACATGCACACACCCTCCTGTCCTCCTAGCTGCTGTTGCCATGGAAACCACTGGGTATGCATGGCAAGGAGACCTTTGTTTGTTCTCTTCTCAAGACTTAATTTTTCATTGTCTTTACAAAGCAGGTACCAGAAACGACATTAAAGAAACAGTTGTTCCATAAAATGATTTAGACCCATAATTTCTGTTTTAATATCCTGTTCTGATTATAGTAATCACCGTGCATCTGTGCTCGCAATGCCTTGAAGTAGTGTGCTATCTAACAAACAAGCACAAATGTTGCCTGAGAGACATCCACGTCTATTCTGAAGCACCAATAAGTGAACTAAGATCTGTAAAAATCTTGGTATCAGTTTCAAAGTACATCTGTGGGCTTACTCCCCTGAAGTAACCCTGAGATAATGGTGTGCGTGTGATAGAAATGCTTCATTCCTGACTGTCAGTGTAAGGGGAAGAGTGTCTGTGGCCAGGATCAGAGCAGAGGCAGTCCAAGATGGACGGAGACTGAGAGTCTCCCATTTGAGCTCTGTCACACTCGTAAAACCATCCCTGCTTCACGGACACCGCCGTCACCATGGCAATAGTTAGATCTTTACACAGGGGCCATTGCAGTATTACACATATGGGAAAGGAGGAGCGGAGGCTGTGTGCAGGCGGGGGGGGGGGGGGGGGGGGGGGGGGGGGGGGGGGGGTGAGGGAGGGATTTCAATATACCGTGTACAGTGAATGTATTGTAACGTGTGTCTGTTGTCAAGTGCTTTTAAATTATATTTTCGTATGTAATGTGGAGACCAATGTTTCCTTTTTGTATGGGGGAACAACAGGTTGTGAGCAGAGTGACTTGTAAATGATGTCAAACTGTCTTTCTATATAAAAGAGAAGCTGCTTAAATGTAAACACGAAATGACAATAAAAAAAACAAAACAAAACAAAAAAACAAACAGAAAACAAAAAAAAAAAAGCAAAATAAAGTAAAAAGCTCTGTAGCTGAGACTGATGGTGGAGTTCTTTCTTCCATTTTCAACCCAAAAAAAATGAAATACAACAGTTGGTTAAATGCATTTAGACAAGCTTACTTTATTCATAAAGATTTTTGCAGTACACACTTAAACCATCGTCCAGACATTCTCACGTGAAAAGGGCTGCATCGGACATACACACACACACATTTGCCTTGTGATTACTGGGCATGTGCAATTTTTAAAGCCTGAACACAACACTGTCAGGGGTTACTTTGTAATGACAGAAAAAAAGACAAGTGGTGGTATGGAGCCCTGTGGGGAGACACGTATAAATGACATTCACTCATGAGGGCTAACATGGAGCTGCGCACAAAGCAATGACGTTTCACAGTTCTAACTTTAAAACGTGGAAGTACTTAACAATAAAAGTGTCTGTAACTCAGTGTCCTGCAGTCTATTTACCTTGAACATGGTACAGTATCCCCCAGCCCAGCTTTTTTACTGACCGACCACAGACCAGAAAGTGCACACCAGGAAGTAAAACATCATTGGTCCGTCATTCTTTCATCACTAAAACATGAGGGAGGTAACAGTGAGGGGAGGCAGGGTCACGACAGCAATTCACAGGTCTCTCCACAACTTATACTTATTTTCATATGTACAGTACATTCAGAATAAAGCCTTATTTAGTGCAGATACATGAAAACATAGTGCTGTTGTTGTTGAAACCATCTGACGTCTTTGTTCGTAAAACACTATCATACGTACAGTAGCTCAGGAGAAATCAAAGATCACTTCCCAAGTCAAAAAAAAAAAAAAGAAAATCTCCACCACACCCTTTTTCAGTTATATATATATACACACACACACACACGCACACACACACACACACGCACACACAATCAGTTGACTCTTTAAGACGTCACATATTCAGATCATTCCGCAGTTACACTAAAAAAAATGTTTCTTATCTTTTCTGCCTTTCCGCGATTTGAATCAGAATTAAAAGTTGAAGTACTGTCCTGGCTGCTTTACCACAAGAGAATCCTACTTACTGTAAAGAGATATTCAGGGTAGTGAAAGAACAGGGACATTAAGATACTAGAATGCTTTTTTCTTCCAATCCCTGGTTCAAAGCTCCTGCTACAATTCACTCTTTTCACTTGATCAGCTGTAATTTTGTAGTGTTGAATTGATTTTGAACACAGAATAAATGCATGCACTTCCAATGGTGCTTTAGTCCCTTGAAGCATAAAGATGAGCATAATAGAAAAGTAAAGGACCGTGGCACTGTTCCCAAGTGTTAATGATCCTTTTACGCACTGTGCATTAAAGTGAAAGCTACTCTACTAAATAAACACCTTGGTGGAGTAGCACAAACTCTGCTTCCTTTCAGAGACGAACTACATTCTTTCTAACCTTTAAGATTGCAAAGAAAGTGCTAGTGATTGTATATTAACAAGACAACCGAACCCCAATTAAAATGAACTAATAGCTGACAACACATTTACCCATACAGTGTGACAGAATTCTAGGTTTGCCCTCGAAATCCTTCATTCGATCTGCTCAAAGTTGAGCACGTGGCCGTCAAAGTGCGTGAGGACGTGCCTCTCGAAGAGCTGCTGCTGGCAGTTGAGGGGGAACTGCTCGGAGCAGACGGGGCAGACCTTCCAGTGGCTCTCAACGTGCTGCTCGAAGCTGCGCTGCTCAAAGTGGGGCGGGAAGATCACCTCGCATAGTGGGCAGCGCTTGTGAACGTCATTACTGGGAAAAGAAGGGGGTTGGGTGGGGTGTGGGACGAGGGTGAGGCAAAAAGAAATGTGAGATTCAGAGATTCAGTGCATGGTATATGGTATAGTGATAATGTGTACCTTAATATGGCGTATTTACTGCTGCCCAGGCTGCCACAGCACAGCTGCATGCAGTCCGTCCCACAACTAGACCTCTTAACAGTCATCAATATTTATTCAATACTGACAGGCCTTGATTGGCCTACACACATCTGGTTTCAGGCCCAACCCATACTGTCCACTTTTGCTAACAGTAGAGACACTCAATGGAAATGTCAACTGAAGTGGAAGTACTGTATAACAATGAAGTGTTCTTAGCTTGTCGAACAAAGTCCCTTTCTTATAAAATCTATGGCTCTACAGCACTGTGCTCCATTGTTATGAAGCTGTGATGGCTGTGAGTGTCTCGACTCTCCAGCGGATTTATTTTGTTCGACAGACCATAATATAATTAATGAAAGGAATTTCAACATCTAGAAAAGTAATTTAGTAACTGGTATTAATTAACAACTGTGTTACCTCCTGCCAGTTTAGTACCATATGATTTTATATATGATGTATGTATGGAAATGAAAATTATCCATTGGGGTACCCATGATTTGAGCTTTGATGATTACATCATATTTTCCGCTGTTTTATAGACTAAGCTTTTAATAGACAAATCAAGAAAGCAATTGCCACTTTAATCGATAATGTAAATAATCATTAACTGCAGCCCTACACAATTTTGAAAAGAAACAGCTACCCTCTCCCTGGAGTCAGTTAGCCGCTCTGCAGGTCTTTTCATATTAGCCTTGTTTGGCTCACCACCAGCACACAAGAAGGATGGAAGGAATCCCACCCCCACCGTCTTGGCGTCTGTTTTTAATCAACGCTCTCGTGTTTGCTTGTGTAATTTCTTTCCTTTTTTATATGTCCTGATTGTAAAAGTCAAGTTATTCTAACATTACTTTTTATGTCAGCGAGAAGGTGTGCTACCTGGAGTCAAAGCAGAAGCTGCCCCTGGCTTCACTGCGTCTACTGGACTGATGATCACAGGACGGCTGAGCCCCGTCAGCAACCTATGATACACAACACAAGCACAATGTGAAGAGGATGGCCATTTCTTAAGAGCTGTATATGAATGCAAACAAAACAAAAGGGCTGACAGAATTATCTGAACCAGCAAAGATTAGTATGTGTATGCACGTGCAGCTAGGTTTCTATTTAAAGATTATCACACAGTAAACCTTCCTCAAGAGTCCCTGTTCAGTTTGCTTCCAAACAACCAAAGATATAATCCGACACTAACTGATCTTAGGTCTGTCCCTATGCAAAATCTCCCCTAATTACTCTCTCCTGGCCCTTGTTATCTTCGTCTCTCTTGAGCTCTGAAGGAGTGACGTTAATTAGAGCTTTATGCAAATGAGTTCAAAGCTTCATCTTTTAAGGGCAAGCTGCATTTCCCTTCATTCAATGAGGAGGAGCACTCCCGAGACAGAGGCGAAATAAGCAAGGGATTACCATGACAGGATTCATTGGCTGCGAAACACAAAG